AATGAATGGTCGAGGAAACGCCCTTGATATCTCCACCAGATTATCTGTTATACAATGTCTAACCAGCATAACCGTACCACAGACAGTAAAATTTACTTTACTTTTCACTACAAAAATGGCTTTCATAATAGTAACAATCAGATTCATGATATTTTTGATATTATTATTATTATTTTTGATATCAGAAATTAACATTTCTACCAGTAGCATTTGAATTCTTCATATCAAGTATAAACATTTGCACTAGTAACCACATGATTACTGATACCAAAAATAAAGTTTTAGAATAAACTTAATAAAGAACTGTATTTCTGATCTGGGAAATTGAAATTTCAACTATTAAGAAATCAATTTTGGATTTAAATAACGGAAGACTTTTTGCTATTAGATGTGGTAAAATATTGCAAAATATGCCAGTACCACATTTTCAACAAGTCCAATATTTTGGATTTAGAATGGATTCAAAAACCAAGAGGCAACGCTATACAAGGCAGTGGAAATATGCACGGAGATCACTGCATGAAAGGTGTTTGGAGAGGAGTCATCACTTCATCCAGTAACACTTCAAGAAAGAATTAATGAAGAACATTATACTGATGAAGAAAATAATACTGATGAAGACAGCTTCTCAAGTGTAGAAATTGGGGTCAGTGGGGAGGACTGCAGTTCAGGACCTCACAGTGTGGCCGATGGGTCCAGTGACGAAAACAGCAATTCAGAATCTGAGTATGATAACAAAGTGGCCCTAACTTCATTCTCAACATTTTTACAAGAATGGGCAACAAAACAAAAACACATCATTAAGCATAATGCTCTAGATGATCTCCTGAAAGGACTTAAAAATTATGGCCACCCAGAGCTCCCATCAACAGCAAGGTCACTGCTGAAAACTCCAGACTCATTAAATCAGTGGAAAAATCAGGAATGGAGTGTGTCCATTTTAATTTAAGGGAGAGCATTCTTGAGCAGCTGCAGCGCTATCCAAGAGACATTACAGATGGAGTTAGCACATTGGAGCTTTCATTTAATATAGATGGCCTGCCGATTTTTAAAAGCAGCAGAGCATCTCTTTGGCCCATCCTGTGTGCCATTCATCTGCCACCCATTAGTGTCTTTCCTGTCACATTGACACTCGGTCCCACCAAACCAACAAATTTGGATTTTATTGAAGAAGCTATAAAGGACATTCAGGAGCTTGTAGACAATGGTTTGGATGGAATAGAAGTCAAAATCAGATGTGTTGTGTGTGACGCACCCGCAAGAGCCATGGTTAAAAAGATCAAACAATACTCTGGGTACTATGGGTGTGACAAGTGCACACAGAAGGGCACATGGGTGGATGGACGCGTGACCTACCCAGAGGTTGATAACCTCACTTTACGAAACAACGACACGTTTCGCGCTGAAATGTCCATGCGTCAAGAAAATGAGGACACTCCTGTGTCCCCCTTTCTGAATCTCCCACTGGACATGGTAGAACAATTCCCAATTGATTACATGCACCAAGCTTGCCTGGGAGTGATGAAAAAACTCATAACAGTGTGGGTTAGAGGAGACAGGAAAGTGAGAATGTCTGCTGGGCAAATAAGCAATGTGACCCAAAGGCTGCTGTCACTTCAAAAGGACATCCCCAGCTGTTTTGCCCGGAAACCAAGAAATCTGGAAGACATCGACAGGTGGAAGGCAACCGAACTGCGGCAGTTTGCTGTTTACACAGGAAAGATCGTGCTTAAAGGAATTCTGGCTGACCAGCTATATGATCACTTCATGGTGTTCAGTGTTGCCTTAAGTCTTCTGATTTGCCCTACACTTGCAGTGGAACACAACAGCTACAGCAAAGAGCTGATGAAATACTTTGTTGGAAAAGCAGGAGAACTATATGGAGACCACTTCATGGTCTACAACGTCCATTCAATGGTGCATCTACCAGAGGAGGCAATGGCTTTTGGCAGTCTTGATGCTTGCAGTGCATTCCCTTTTGAAAATTATCTTGGAAAGCTGAAGCGACTTGTAAGGTCCGGAAAGCAGCCACTTACTCAAGTGGTCAAACGGCTAAAGGAGATGTCAAAATCCCCATTGTCTGTGGAGGCCTCTGAGCCCAAATTCAAAAGGCCAAATAATGCCTTCATACTTGATGAAGGTAAATGCTGTGAGGCCATTGAAGAGAGAGAGTCGGATGATGGTTGCCAGATGATGTTGTGCAAGCTTTTTGAGAAAACACAACCACTTTTTGGAGATCCATGTGACTCCAGAATACTTGGATGCTTCAAAGTGCAATCAAGTCATGCTGTAATGAAGCTCATACCAAAACGTCAACTGACAAGAAAAGCTATAATGGTGGAAAAAAGAGAAGAGACTATTTTCTTAGCAATCCTGCATGAGCACAAATAATGGCCCAGGAGTCTCTCTCTCTCTCTCTCTCTCTCTCTCTCTCTCTCTCTCTCTCTCTCTCTCTCTCTCTCTCTCTCTCTCTCTCTACTCTCTCTCTCACTCTCTCTCTCTCACACACACTCACTCTCTCCCTCACACACACAGTCACTTTCTCTCTCTCTCTCTCTCTCTCTCTCTCTCACACACACACACACACGCACTCACACACACCAAGAGACTGCCAATGCATTAGTTATATCTACTGTTAATTCACCATTTAAGGACATTCAGAGAAGCCAAGGAGGACAAACAGTGAAGGTCATTAAAATCAGTTATTTTAAGCAATAAGTTATTGAACAGATATAATACACTGTGTAAATTATCTTATTAAATATTTCCTTCTGTATAAATATATGTATAATTTTTATGTTTTTTTTTTTATCTCAACAGATGGACACAAAACGTTTTGCAGTTGTGGAATTTGCTGAGGATAGTGCCGTTGAAATAATTCCAATGTCATGGTTGGAGGAAACCAAAGAGGTATTGTTTTGTTTTCTCATTCATTTACATAATTACATTACTAAATCAGTTCAAGAATGGCAAATCATTTTTGTCAGGGGATGTTTTCTTACTGGACATTTACAAACACGAGGAAACTGGTAAAAAACTGCTCTCTGCCAGACAAAGCGAAGTGGAGGCGATGTCTATTAAAAAAAGTTTGGCTAAAAACAGGTAATGAAGTTTTGCATTATTTAAATGAATCTACTATTATACTATCTAATATTTTTCAATATTTAATATTTACTGTATTTTCAAGATTCTTACACTAAAGGTCTTCAGAAATGCCGTCGTGTGGTGGAGACCTCAAATGTTGAAACCGAAGACTGCTCCACAGTGAAAAAAAGGGCACATAAAAAGCCAACAAGATTTGTTTCGGAAATTGATTCTTCCTCAAATGGTAATTATTCAAATTACTTCAAAGAAATTTGTCTATATCCATTGAAAAAAAAAAATAACTGAAAAAAAGCCTACATAATTATAAATAACAATTTGTGAAGTCCATTTTAAAGCATGTTTCCATTTCAGATGATGGCAGAGTTACCAAAGGACCAAAGGGCAATACAGATCTGTCAAAACCTCATCCACCAAAATGTAAGTTTTTAACGCAAGTAGGAGTCACGAGTCATTCTATAATTTGGGGTACATTTGACAATGTAATATATATATATTATATATATATATATATATATATATATATATATATATTTTTTTTTTTTTTCCACAACCTCGTGTATGTTTCAAAAAGCATATAACAATGTTCCTGATCAACTATTTTACCGACTATGTTTGGGTCTATAGTCTATACTTATTAAATAAAATTTTGTACAAGAAAAGTGTGCATTGAGGCTTTATAATGATGAAAATCAAAATGATCTCACAGACATGAGATGTACCCACAATTATAGTATGGGCCACATGACTATTACCCAATGTCTCCATTTATCATCCATTTAATTTTGTATTTACAGATTCATCATTCTCAAATATTCATCCTCTGGACAAGGGTTTGTATAGTATGCTTTTTTTAGACAATCACAATGAATGGATGAATAAATCTCTCTCTCTCTCTCTCTCACTCGCTGCAAAAGAAGGAAGTTCACCACTTTCTCAACACTGTAAGTGTTTTTTTTGTTTGTTTTTGTTTTTTGTTTTTTTACTTTTCTTTCATGGTTAATTGTAACCTGCAACTCATTCATTAATACTGAATCTATGGCCTGGTTTCACAGACAGGGCTTAGCCTAAGCCAGGATTAGGTCATAGTTAAATTAGGACATTTAAGTTTTTTTTGTTATATAAACATGCGTTAGAAAAAGAATTACTGGTGTGCATCTTTAGACAAAACAAATGCACTGACATGTTGTAAGATCAGTCATTGCAAGTTTCTTTCAGTTGAAATAGCTCAGATTTTAAATTTTAGTCTAGGACTAGACTCACTGTAAGCCTTGTCTGTGAAACCGGTTTGGTAATTGTCTAGTCTGTTTACGCAGCAGAGGAATCGCTGCAGGAGTCCCAACTGCCAAGTATATCACAGCCTCTTGAAGGTATTATTCTAAAATTCAAAATATTATATTTTAAAATTCAGAATATTACATTTATTATAATTATCAATAATTCTAGTTATAGTGATTTTTTTATTTTTTTATTCCACAGTGGCTTCACGGTTCCTCATAGAAGAGCCCAGTATTTCTGACTCTGCAACAAATAGTAAGTCAGTTTTTAGATTTTTAACACTACAGTAAAACTGCACATTCAAGGAGCATTATACAATATTGCTTCACAGGCTATCGGACAAAAGTCTTACAAAAGCTACAAGAGATTGTCGACAACCAGCAAGACATCCTGGCCATGCAGAGACAGTTACTGGCTGCAGTAGCGGTTACGGTGACAGAGGAAGGTGGGGAAATCCTGGAAAATGGGCCATGCCAAACAGTGGATGAACTGAAGATCCTTGACAGGGAATTGGAAAACAAAGAAAAAAGTGCCAAGATGGTAATACTTTTGCAAGACACTCAAATGCACCTACTGTTACCAGTGTGGGTACATGGGGGGAAAAACATCAATCTATCCATAAAGCACCCACCCATCCATCCATCCATCCATCCACCCATCCATAAAGCATCCATCCATCCATAAAGCACCCACCCACCCATCCATCCATCCAAAACCAACCACCCATCCGTCCATCCATAAAGCACCCACCCATCCATCCATCCATCCATCCATCCATCCATAAAACCACACATCCATCCACCCATAAACCACCTACCCATCCATCCATCTATAAACCACCCATCAATCCATAAACCATCCATCCATCCAAAAACCACCACCCATCCATCCATCCATCCATAAACCACCCACCCATACATCCTTAAACCACCCATCCATCATTCATCCATCCATCCATAAACCACACACCCACCCATCCATCCATCCATCCATCCATCCATCCACCCATCCATCCATAAACCATCCACCACCCAGCCATCCATCCATCCACCACCCACCATCTATACTGACCCATCCAACCATCCATAAACCACACCCATCCATCCTTCATCCATAAAACACACACCCATCCATCCATCCATCCATAAACTACACACCCACCAATCCATCCATAAACCACCCACCCATCCATCCATTCATGAACCGTCCATCCATTCACTCATCCACCACCCACCCATCCATCCATAAACCACCCACCCATCCATCCATTCATAAACCGTCCATCCATCCACTCATCCACCACCCACCCATCCATCCATCCTTAAACCACCCACCCATCCATCCATCCAGCTTGAACAGTTTCCATTCAAAAAACATCCATAAAGCACCCACCCATCCATCCATCCATCCATAAACCACACATCCATCCATCCATCATCCATCCATCCATAAACCACCTACCCATCCATCCATCTATAAACCACCCATCCATCCATAAACCATCCATCCATAAACCATCCATCCATCCATAAACCACCGACCCATCCATAAACCATCCATCCACCCATCCATAAAGCACCCACCCACCCATACATCCATAAACCCACCCATCCATTCATCCATCCATAAACCACACACCCACACACCCATCCATCCATCACCCATCTATCCATAAACCATCCACCACCCACCCATCCATCCATCCATCCATCCACCACTGACCCATCCATCCATCCATAAACCACCCATCCATAAACCATCCATCCTTCAATCAATAAAACACACACCCATCCACTACACACCCACCCACCAATCAATCCATAAACCGTTCAGCCATCCACTCATCCACCACCCACCCATCCATCCATAAACCACCCACCCATCCATCCATCCAGCTTGAACAGTTTCCATTCAAAAAAAGGTTAGTTCACCCAAAAATGAAAATTCTGTCAGTATTTACTCACCCTCATGTTGTTCCAAACCTCTATGTGTTTATTTGTTCTGCTGAACACAAAGGAAGATATTTGGAAGAATGTTTTAATCAAACAGGGGCTCGGATGTTTTAAGCAACGTACGAAGAACGAGCCCCTGTTTGATTAAAACATCCTTCCAAATATCTTCCTTTGTGTTCAGCAGAACAAATAAACGCATAGAGGTTTGGAACAACATGAGGGTGAGTAAATACTGACAGAATTTTCATTTTTGGGTGAACTAACCCTTTAATCTGGTGTCATGATGCCATATTCTTTTTTTTCCTCTAAATAATAGTCTTTCTTTCTTTCTTTTAAACAGAAGAACTACCTTCGGTCCTTTGGGGACCAAACCCAGGTGCAACCTTGCGCAAAATATTGCGCAAGGTTGCATCAAATGAAGTCTTGGGTGCCTACAGCCTTAAAGGGAAAAAAGGCAAACTACCCTTCCAACAGACGAAGATCTGCAATATTATCATAGGCAAGTTATCAGTCATTTTTTTTATATTTAATAGCCAATTTTTTGCACTTTGGAAAATTGTTTTGGTCCCAATGTACATTATTTTAAATAATACCATACCTCAAATAGCTACAATTTTACATGAATTTTTCCTACATCAAGGGGCAATGCAGAAGTCCTACAAATCTCTTAAGGCCAGTGAGATTGAAGACCTAATTTCAATGGTCCTTAAATTTGCCCCTCACCGGCATTTAAAATGGTAAGCAATCATGTCAGTTTTGTTTAAATTTTCAATGTACATTATGCAAAATCAATTTTTTCTTGTGTCATTTTTGACATGGTTTATAGACTGATATTTGTTTTAGCAACATCTACTGATGAGTGACTTAAAAAGTTGGAAACTTGGAAAGTATAATTACTAAATGGGTGTAAATTATTTGCGCAGTGAAATATCATAACATCCGTCTACAAGACATCAGCAAAACTTCATTATTCACACACCACTGAGTGACACAGTTTTGAAAACTTTAGGGTTGTTTTAAGGATGTTTGTGCATGCCGTAGACACTACAGGCGATCCTAAAAGAGTCAAAAAGTCGAGACATGACCCATCGTCAATTTCTTTGTCCACCACTCTAGTTTATCCAAAACAAACTAGAAAATAGACTCAAAGTGCTAAACACTTGAATTTTTCTTTAAGGCTTGCAGGTGACTTTAGTTGTTACGTAGAAGTATTATTTGTTTTTTTTTTTTTTAAGTAAAACTAGGGCAAGTTAAAAACATTATATAAATGTTTAGTAATTGTTGTAGTAAACTGCCTTGCAAATAAATAAATACCTGGCCAGTAATAAAAAAAAGATATTAATAATAAAAATGAATAATATTTATGGCTTACCAGTCATCGGCACACAGTCCTTAACTGCACTACAGTTAATTTTTTAGGTCTATAATTTCTATCTAACTCATGCCTTCCCCCTCCCCCCTTCCCTTTGTTTTTGATTTGCAGCTGATGGTGAAGTGAAGAGATTGGTGAAGACAGAGTTTCATGTTCACCATACATGTTGTCATGTTCACCATACCATACACCACTTTCACCATACACGTTGTCATGTTCACCATTTACACATTGTCACTGTTTCATGTTCACCATACACCATACACCAGTTACGTGTTCACTGTATGTAAATGTTCATTTTGTTTGATATATGAATACATTTTGCTTGATATATGAATAAATAGTTGTTTAATATATGAATAAATTGTTATTTAATATATGAATAAATTGTTGTTTAATATATGAATAAATTGTTGTTTAATATATGTATGCATTGTTGTTTAATAAATGTTCATATCTCAGTTCAGATATTGAAATTGTTTCTTATATTTTCTGAATAATAAACTATGTAGAAGAAGTGGCTTGTTGACTTATTTATGACCAGACATCAGAATGAAGAGGTTAGGAGAACCTTCAGGGAACCTTCTAGGAACGTTCCCTATTGGTGATCCAGGAAAGTTTTCTTAACGTAAATAGAACGTTCCCTTAAGGTTAGGGGAACGTTCTGGGAACCTACTTGGAACGTTCTCGCAACGTTCTGGGAACATTCCGAGTAGGTTCCCAGAACGTTCTTGTAACATACCAAGGTTAGTAGAACGTTCTGGAAACTTTAAGGGAACGTTTGCATAATGTTCCCAGAACGTTGTGGGAACGTTTTGGGAATGTTCTGATAAAGTTTCCAGAACGTTCCCCTAACCTTAAGAGAACGTTCTATATATGTTAAGAAAACTTTCCTGGATCACCAATAGGGAACGTTCTTGGGAACATTCTGGGAACGTTCTGGGAACCAAAAACTAACATTCCCAGAACGTTCCCAGAACGTAAAATTGTTTGCTGGGTTTGAACAGTTTGCACAGAAACTGTCTTTTGGACCTTGAACCGTTTCGTACCCAGTCAAGTCCATTATATGGAGAAAAATCACTTTACATGCTTTCATGTCCAAGTATTTGCTATCTGACCCGTTGAATTGCAGCTTTTGTTCATGTGTGCTATGTGTGTTAACCCTATATAGCCTACCCTGCATAAATTAGGCTACAGTTAGGGTGATACACATGACTTAAAATGTGATATTGCCTGCACAGCTCTTGGACGACATATCTAGCCTTTATATAGATATCTATGTTCCATACATCTCGGCAACTCGTGCATCAAATATTCTACGAGTTGCCCATGTGCATTTTGAACCATGTGTTTGGTCTGCATCTGCACGTTCTGGCCAGCAGGGGTCTCCAGGGTGTGGCGTTTCAAGCGCGGCCGTCCAAACGAACAAACAGGGAGTCAAGAAGCCATTGGTTCGGTTGATTCAAAGTCCAGAAAAGCTTTCGTTTCTCCTCGAAAGTCGTCAGTAAATGGTAAATGTAGGATTCTTTCATTTGCCCGCTGCTTAATTTCAGCCAATCAGGTGTGCAACCCACACGCAACGTGATTAATATTCATGAATCATGAGCCAATCCTTCAACAGATTCGGCGGTTTGATCAGTGAATAAGAACATTGCTCCTCTGCTTAAACTTGTTTTCCGATTATTTTTAAGATATTATGTAATGCAATACAATCCTCTTTCCCAAGAAGGAGACTGAACGGCGATGGAACAGGTAAAGAAAGTGTTTGGGATAACAAAACGCCGTGTAGATGCTATTTTGTCAAATAGATAGATGGGTTTAAATGGGTCAAAAGGTACGCTTAGTTTAATCACAAATAACCTACGTATTTTGTTTATATGGAGTTGTTTTATACTGAAATACCCTATTTTAATTAATTCCTTATGAAAATAAACGTAGGTTGTATTAGTAAAAGTGTAACGCTATGGTTAGTGTAGCAAAACCATGATTAATGTGTGGTTACCATGTTTTAATTATAACGTTTCTAACCATGTAAATTATTATTAATCTTTGTTGTACAACCATAATTCATTTGTGTTTATCAATGTTTAACTATACTAACGATGTTTTTCTGCTTTTATGTGTAGTGAGACCATGGTTAATTTGTGGTGACCGTTGGTTTGACTAGTCTCCATGTAGTTGTTTTGTTTGTAGTAAAACCATGGTTAATTTTCACAAGGGATGTGTTTGCCTGCTTGAATATTTTACACTGTCTCCTGAAATGTGTTGATATGTGTGTGCTAAAATGTATACTGTTTGTGTTTCATGTCGACTATATAGGTAGCCTGCAGCAATTTCAGATCCATAAGGGCCAAGTTTCAGGAAGAGCTCCAGGTGAGGGACAGACCTGTGCTTCCCGAGAAACCCAAACGCCTCCCGACAGCCGGCGTGGGCCGCTCTGGTCCGATAACCACGAGCTGTTCAGCTGTGGAAACCATGAGTTCAGCTGTGGAAACCAAGACCCCTAGTCTACCCCGGGCCATTTTCAGAGAAGACCTGAAAACGCCCTTTGGGAGACGGCCTGTGTCTTTCCCAAGCTTCCCCAACACAACATCTGAAGTCAGCAGGTCTGGTGAGGACAGGCACAACAGGCAGTCGCTCAAAGGTCGGCATTTGCCCCTCGTGTTGCCGCTTTCAAACGAGCCACCGCATGATTCTTCAGCTCCTTGCTCAAAGAGAATCCCATCACCTCTCAAATGCATCCGGAAGCAATTCCCTACGCCTTTCAGCTTGACCAAAGTTTCAGCGTCTGGCAAAGACATGGGTAAAAATGGTCCTAAAAGTACTCAGAGTGTTGAGACCGGAGAGTCAAACCCGTGTGCGAGTCTCGAGCGCTCCGCTACTCCTTCTCCGAGCGACGGATCGTCCCTGACGGACTCGTCTTCTGGGACGGGGAGTGTTAGCCACTTCTTTGACCAGCATGTGTTGAGCACGCTGGAGAAAGCCAAGAGGAAGCTGTCCCACAAGAGCCTGCTGGTGTGTGGCCGACCCAAGGGCTTCTACATCAGCAAAGCCACCGAGAGTCCTCCATCTCCTCCTGCCCGTCCAGAGACGTCCTCTCCTCGGAAGAGCAGAGCGGCACACAGTGAGTTAGAAACTTAGGCTTTTACACGCATACATACGGGACCGGTCAAACAATACTGTTTCCTATGCTCATCAGGCCTGCATTTATTTCATCAAAATACTTATTTGAAATATTACAATTTAAAATAATGATTTTCTATTTTATTATACTATTGTGGTGAAAATCCAGTTTTTAATGTTGTTTATGTGGCGTTTTTAATATGATTTTAAGACAAAGCATGAGTAAATTCATAAGTCGAGTATTTCCTCCTTAAAACTGCAGTGAACCAAAGACAGTCTCAAACACATGGTGTGAAATCACTGGTGTTTCTGACGTCACACACGACCTTGTAACCAATCAGATCAACGTGTGATTGTCAACCAGTGGATCTCTGAGTGAGTGGAGGCGGGGCTCATTTGCATATTCATAGAACCACGCATACTAAATGAGGCAAGGGTGTCGAGTTGCATTCAAGATATTTTAAGGCATGAAGATTTTAAATGAGATTTTTGGTGATCAGAGATGAGTTTTCAGCATCATTACTCTTTAATTTTTTCTTTTTTTGAAAGAAAAAGGATGTTAAATTGATAAAGTAAAGTTTCTATTTTGAATAAATGCTGTTCTTTTTAACTTTTTATTCATCAATGAATCCTGAAAAAAATATCACCGTTATAAAGAAAAAACATTAAGCAGCACAACTGTTTCCAACATCGATGATAAATCATCATATTATAGTTATTTGTGAAGGATCATGTGACACTGGAGACTGGAGTAATCATTCTGAACAAACAGCTTTGATCACAGGAATAAATTATATTCAAATAGAAAACCATTATCGAAGTTGTAATATTTCACAATAATATGTTTTTTTTTCTGTATTTTTGATCAAATAAATGCAGAGACTCTTTTTCAAAAGTGTTCATAATAGTAATGTTTCCAAACTTTTGGCCTGTGCTGTGTATGAATTCAGCAGTTTCGAGAGTGCGTAGAGAGTGTATTGTTCTAGTTCTTCAGTGCATCTGTGTTTGAGACATGCCTGTGTGTGTCGTAGCCGCTGTGACGGAGCTGGCTTCAGTCCTGCAGACCGGACCACCACGCAAACCTCTCCCTGTCCCCACATCCCTCGCGCCGGGGCCCTCAAAGCCTCCGCGACCCCCGCGTGTGGACCTCCACAGATACACGGCTGCACGACACGCCACTGAAGCGCTCGCTGCTGGTTAGTAGACGTTCTTTCACACACATCACTGCTTTTTTGAGTTGATTTGGGCAGTTTACCTCCATACAACAGTAACATGGTTAAAGCGTAAGCTATGAGAAACCTTGGTGTCCTAATAGATAATAATCTAAATTTTAATAGTCACATAAAATCAATTACAAAATCAGCATACTTTCATCTTAAAAATATCAATAAACTTAAAAAATGTATGTCTAAAGAGGATCTTGAAAAGATCATACACATGCTTTGATTTCTAGTAGGATTGATTACTGTAATGTGCTTTTAGCAGGACTCCCTAAAAAGAATTTAAAACCGCTCCAAATGGTACAGAATAGTGCAGCCAGGATCCTTACAAAAACCAAAAGAAGAGAACATATTACTCTGATTTTAAAGTCCTTACACTGGCTCCCAGTTATGTATAGGATTAATTTTAAAGCACTTTTATTAGTTTTTAAGTCAATAAAGGGGATGGGACCTAAATACCTTCATGATATGTTTCAACAGTATACTCAACCTAGACCGCTTAGATCACAGCATAAACAGCTTCTACTAAAACCTACAGTTGGAACAAAACAAGGGGAAGCTGCTTTTAAATACTTTGGCGTTCATCTCTGGAATCAACTTCCAGATAACATTAAAAACGCTCCAACCATTACAATTTTTAAAAATAGATTAAAGACTAAGTTTTTTTCAGATGCTTTTTCCAGTTAATGCGTGACAAATAAATGCATTTACGTTATTTTATTTTCTTTTTAATGTTTTTTTGATAAATGTGTATTTATTTCTGTGTTGTGTGGCTACATTGAATTTTAATTGTTTATATTATACTGTGTGAAGTGCATTGTATTGCTGCTATGTATGAAATGCGCTATACAAATAAAATTGCCTTGCCTATGAGAAGTCAAATTAGGGGGTATTTATTCATATTCAGGATCAAGCGCTCTAAGAGGAAATATTCAGGTTTTTGAAAGTATTTTTGAAAATATACATTATGTATATATTTTTAAATGTGTGTCTGTGTATTGTCAGTAATACTGACCTTCATTCTTAAAAATACATTTATTTTAAAATGATAAAATAAAATGTAAAAATACACAACAATTATTTAAACTCTACTGTCTTTATGTTGTTTCTACATTTATTTGGAGATTTAATTATTGCATATTAAAATATATTAAAAACATATCAACTTAAGTGTTCTTAATCGCAATTAATCAGAAACATGTGATTTAATCTACTTAATTTTTTAAATGTTAAAATTCAGCTTTGATCACAGGATTCAATTAAATTAAATAGTCAAATAAATGTAAAAAATGAAGAAAAAATTGTAATTTCCCAATATTGCTGTTTTTACTGTGTTTTTGATCTAATAAATGCAGGCTTGGTAAGCAGAAGAGACTTCTTTCGAAAACGTATAAAAACCTTCTTAACTGGTAACTGACTGGTAGTTTATATGTCAGTGTGTGTACATGAAAAAAATGGTTTATTATCCTAACTATAGAAGGTTCAGCTTGAAATGCAGCTCATCCGTTCTGAGTGATGTTGGTTCGGGAGCTGGTTTCAGTCTTGTCCTCTGTTTGTCCAGAACCGGAGCCTGAGGTTTCTGCTCCCGCTGATGCGTCACTAGAGGACACGAGTTTACCTCCTCCCGAATTCCCCGATTTTGAAGTGTGTGCAGCCGAAGCGGCGGACAGCGACGCCGTCGACCTGGCAGCCCTGGAGCTGGAGGCCACAGAGTTCCCCGACTCCTTGCCTCCTCCTCCACCAGAGGAACACGACAACCCGGTCACATGTTCTCCCGGGGATGATGGACCACACGACACGCCGTCAGCTGACGCTCTCGCTCAGGCCACAAGCGCAGGCGTCTCTGCCACCTCTGACCTCAGGATGAACGGATCACACACTGAACACCAGCAACCAGTGTAAATGTGTCATTTGTCTCATTATGTCCCATTATATCCCTCACGGGTCAAAATGACCTGAAGCCCTAAAATTATACTACTTTTTTTTTTTTTTGTCCGGAAAGCTTATTTTATTTCTTTTTGATATTATTTGAAAAGCATTTTTTTTAATTACCTTTTTAAATCACTTTGATCAATAAATAAATAGTCATTTTAGCTCATTCCTTACATTATTCAAACTTAAATTCAAAATTACTTACAATTTCATGCATAACCCTTTTAATTCAGCTCAAAATATCTTTCATTGTGTGTCTTGTGGAAACTAATATAACCTGATATTTCATGACTCTTGCCACTAGATGGCCTTATAGCTCTCTTCAGTGTGCGTTCAGATACACATGTAGACATTATACAATATTTTTTTGGTAAATTTTAGCATTTTTAGGTTTTTCTATGTGTACTGAAGCATTCCTCACAGTCCATTAATTCCTATGGGGGTCAAATTGACCCGTGAGGGAAGGATTTTTTACATTTCTACCACACAAAACTCCTCGAATCCATATTTTCTTTGTGTGTGGTTCAAGTGTGACAAAAGTGCTGTGGTCTTGGACCCCTCTGATGAACACTCAATTAAAAAAAAAAAACTTCCGGGTCAAATTGACCCGAGGGAAGGATGAGAGTTGGGTTTAAACTTGTATCTTTAATATTGCCGTGTAATTGTCTTTATAATGCGATGGATCAGACCTCATCTCATCAATGTGTTCTTCTTTTCCCCTCAGTTTTCCTAAGGAGAGGCGTGTGCATGGGACATTTGACAATGTTTATGAGGATGTGGAGACTGTTCCCAAGTTTCCTTTTGTCCAACACTCGTTCAAGAGTAAAGCAGCTCCTAAAAGTGAGTACTGTATTATGCTAGCACTTGTCAATGATTGGAGGACAGTGACTGATGCGCTTTCTCCTTCAGACCCGTATGCGGATAACGGCCATGTGGTGAGCCATTCTTTCTTATAATTGCCGTTTATTAAAGAGTTGGTCATTTACGTGAAATATGTTTGATATATCATGATGGGTGCTTGAAAAGATACTCTGAAGCATCCTTACCTGGTGTACATGGAAAGCCTGGATGAAGTGTGAATGCGTCTTTGCCAGCTTATAATGACGTACATTATTTCTATTGATCTCTTGATTTGTTTGACAGAAAGAAGAGACTTGGAAGAATATATGGCATGTCCCTCAGTGGTTTGTCAGCACTTATTTCTCTCTCATGATAAATGTTATTAAATGCTGTACAGTCTAAGAAAAGACTACATTGCAATTGGTTTTCTTAGTATTGTTTCCTGTCCAAATGATTAGATGCCATTAGATACTGTATTGTCTTGTTTTCTGGGGAAATAAATCAAAATTTAGTGAGTTGTTGCTTAAAAAAAAAAGCTAAATTATCTGCCAATGGGGTCAGAAAAATAATCTTAATTCAATCAGAAACTAGATCATTATTTCTTACCCCTTTGGCTGATCATTTTGCTTGTTTTAAACAACAACTTGATTTTGATAATTTCCCCAGAAAATATAATAATATATCTTACTGCATTTCACTACTTTAGTAAATGCCTCGTGAATGAAGTATTCTTTTTGTATTTGGACTGGAAACGAGACACAAAAGCATATTTTGCAGTGAAAACTTGAGTTTCTGTTGTTTCCCCTCACGATGTGAAGGTCTAATGCAGCTGAAGATCACAATGGCCACAGTCACAACGACAGGTATGATGATATCTGATTTCTGACTCAACTCTGTGACGCATCATTTACTGCACTGTAATCTGGGGAAATCTTATTACTATAATGTGGGAAAAAATGCCATCAAAGAATCTAATGATAAACTCAAACACACCCCGGGTCCACACCAGACTCTCTGAGAGAGGACACGATTGTGAAGAAATGGAGGCTTACATTTAGCTCGGTTTAAATTTTCTCTCGGAGAGAAAACATTCTTAATGGGTTCGTCAAGTAAGATTTTTACAGAAACCGTATTGTTGCTAATCGATGGCGTTCGCTTCTGTTGAAGCCGTCAGTCGCATTATTTCAGCTTATTTTTAAGATCGTTTAACAGCAGAATTCCTGGTGAAAACTACATTACCCATGATGCTGTGCAGAAAATTACACCAATCAGAGTCTCGAAACAAGCAAAACGCACCAAAAGATCCGGCCAGTTCTGTGAAGCATAGCATATTTATATTTTCCAATATACATCCGCATTTTGTAATAAACTTGCATGGTGTGTGAATATTTATGTGAAAGTAGTTTTATATTAATTCAGGTACACTGTCTGCAATGCTTCATGGGATTGTAGTTCTTTCTCACTAAAGCTGTTAAGTTCGCGGTCTTGTACTTTTTGTACGTATTGTTTTTGCTTCAAATCACAGTTTGTAATGTTGTAATGTGGTTCTCGAAGCTGGTTGGTTTGGTTCATGGCTTATAATGTTTTGGCGAAGAAAAAAAAAACACCTATGGGAGAAATAAATGGAGAAAATACTTTCGTAACCAACAACACTAAACAAGCGGGCGCCAGTGCACACTATAGTCATGAAAATATTTCATCAGGACAGGTTATAGTCAATCACATACCCATCAGCCCAGACATGCATTGCCATTAGATTCATTGGTCTTACACATCAGATTTAGTTTTCTGACACAATTTTCATTTTAAAATTCTGTTGATTTGTCACAAAGATATTATCTAGAAGTATTGCTGAATTTGCTAAAATGATTTATTCTTACCGAAACTTGCGAGACTATAATTTGTTTAATATCTATCAGTCAGCAATGTTTTGCCTTGTTTTCCATCATTTTTCAGCCAAAGTGTATATGAATTGAAGTTATTGAAGTAAAAATATAAATATCTTAATAAAATATGTGTTGAGGGCTTGAGGCCAGTGGAAATGTCGTCTGAGCAAGGAAAAATATATAATTATTAGTTTTAAATAACTGGTTTCATTTCAGTCATGTTAAATATGATTATTTTATATCTTATAATTTCTCATTATTGGGAGTTTTTCACTTGGACATGAGATTTACGCTTCTATGCGTAACTTGTAACACATCTTAACGTTAATTGCTAAAAACACAGCCGATCTGGTTATTTACAAGGGATGCACCGATATGAAAATTTTGGCCGATACCAATAACAGATAATTCTTTATATTTGAAAGCCGATAACCGATATATCGGCCGATAAACTTAAATCAAAATTTTTATCTAATTTTGAGAGCCTGATTAGATAAACAAAAGCCTCACAATTAAATCCATGTCCCAAGCGCACAATTATAATGACGTTCTCATTATAGTGTCGTATAGCCTTGATGACAGATTTGCGCTGCACATGTTGTCCCGAACCAGATTTAATTTTTTGAAGAGATTTCAATCATATTTGTAGAAATTCAAAAACAAATACAGTTCTCAACAAGTGTCTCAGCTGAAGGGAATAATACATTATTTATCGGCTTTAATATATATCGGCCACATTTTCTTACCCGGCCGATAACAATAACATTAAAAATGAACATATATATATCGGCCAATACCGATATGCTGGCCGATATATCGTGCATCCCTAATATTTATCAATTGAGACTGAGCACAGCGTGTTCCTCATAGAAACCGACCTAAAAAGTGTGTGATTTTTTTCAGAAAGAAGATGAGCCCTGAACACCAGGAGGATAAAGAGCTGAAGAAGAAGGAGAAGCAGCGTCTGGAGAAGGAGAAGAAAGAGCAGAAAGAGAAGGACAAAAAGAGAAACATGTTGCACAAGAAATTTAAAGTGAGTTCGGATGCATAACTTAAAGCCACACTTCATGTAGCGCAAGATAGCGTTTCAAACTGACTGGTGTTTACTTGAAAGAAAAGTGTGCCTGTGCTATCCATCTTTAATGTAGTGACATACATCAGTATAACTTCTCCAGGTCCTGATATATTTCCCATGTTCCCCAATAGATCACCGGACTGGAAGAGCCCATGTATCGCGCCCGAGTGCTGGCGGCCAGCAAACTCCGCAAATACGACCTGCCCGTCAAAAGTGGGGATCTCATCAGCATCATCCGAACGGTCAACTGCCCCAAGGGCAAATGGCTGGCCCGAGACGCCAACAACAAATGTGAGATGCTCTTGAACATCATCTAGTCATGGCTTATACTGTATCAGAAACTGTATATTCTTTTCCCTCCCCACTCCTTAAAGGGGTCCTATAATGCCTTTTCACAAGATGTAAAATAAGTCTATGTTGTCCCCAGAGTGTGAATGTGAAGTTTTAGCTCAAAATACCCCTCAGATGTTTTATAGAGCATGTTAAAATTCACTTTTTGAGGGTGAGCAAAAACACGCCGTTTTCGTGTCTGCCCCTTTAAATGCAAATGAGCTGCTGCTCCTGGCACAGAGGGCGGAGCTTCAAAACAGAGTGTGTTTGTGGCTGTGTTCCAGTCCACTTTTAGACACGCACTTGCGAACTTCCCTAAGCACTTCCCCTCGGGGGAATCCTTGCCGCCAGACCGACGAATGTGCCACGTGAAAGCTAGTCCCGCGCCCTCCTATGGTTAATAAGAAAGCAATAAGGGGCCGTTTACACCTGGTCACTTCGGAAGTATACATTTATTTTTAAATATATATAAAAACAATATTCGAATAGTAACTTTAGCATTCGAATAGTATTGATTTTTTTTTTTTAATATTCGAATTATATTCGAATTTGCGGAATTCGTTCCAACAGCCCTATCGCGTTCCCGGGGCTGTGGATTATGTAAGCAATAAGCTACAGAGGATGTGCTGTATGGTGAATAAGTCACGGCTGAAGGGTGGTGTTCGGCACGATGCAAAGCAGAGTTAGCCGGGACTTAATCACCATACAGCACTAGATTCTGTACCTTATTGCTTTTATAAAACGGTTACCACACAATACAAATATTAAGGACGCAAAATATGTATCTATGCAACGTTCATGAAGTAAAATCACTAAAAGCCTTCCTTCCACTGGAAAAAGTAGTCCCTGACCGTGATAGAAGTTACATTACATTATTTCACCATTAGATGGCGACAGAGACTCTCTTTACGAGTGAGTGAGTCCATCAGAAGACTTTTACATTGAAATGACTCTTGTGAACACCGATAAGGAAGACTCAACTGACGAATGACTAAGTCAGCGTATCACGGGAAAACCCCTCGACTGTTAAAAAGACAAGATATCACGGCGGACATTCAAACTGATTTTTTGTCACGAATGTAGGACTGACCTGAAGGAAAATGCTATATCTACTGTAAATGCAGATAAATTTGCTTACTCGATATCTCACAATACTCTAACGTTACTCTATTAGCTTCAATAAACAGTATTAATGAAAACAAACATATGTTTACGTTGCTAAGAGTGGTTGCTTGGGGTGTTGTGTAGTGATACATAGAGCCGTTGGTTGAAGCGGTTATAGTCGTGTTTTATCATGATTAAAACACAGCTATTGACCAATCAGAATCAAGGACTTGAACCAACCGTTTTATAAGTACATTTTAGGCTTAGGCTAAGTGTTTTTAGCCCGCTAAAAACGCCAGACGCTCTGCTGAAAACGCTAGCTGTGGGCGCTTGAGAGCGCTTTGTCAGCGCAGCGTTCTTTCCGTTGAGACGTTTTGTTGCTATGATACAGAATATCCGCAGCACAGTTTACTTGCAGCTGATTTTACAGATAATTTTTCATACTAAATTATTCTTCATCCATGTTGTTCAGTTAGGCCGTGTGTCCACCAAAGCGTTTTTAGCCAGCTGAAAACGCTAGACGCTCTGCTGAAGACGCCGTGCTTTGGGCGCTTGAGAGCGTTTTGGCAGCGCAGCGTTTTTTCCGTTGAGACGTTTGGTTGCTATGATACAGAATTATCCGCAGCAGTTTGAATGTTGTGACAGTTGGTCGGTGTGGTATTAGTCCCGCCCCTCCTCCGCTGTGATTCGATGGCTGGGTAAAAAGTGACTGTGATGAGCGCTGCGTTTTACCTAAAGTTGAACATTTTTCAACTCGGCGACCTGTAAAAAACGCTGGGTGCTCAGCACTTCAACGTGAAAAAAACGCTCAGCGCCTCGTTACGCTCATCGCGCTCCCATTGAAAACAATCTGTTTTTTTTTTAAAAAAAAAAGCTTAGGTGGACACAAGGCCTTAGTGATGTCACTAACCTGGGAGGAAGCTTGTGTAGTCCCTCTCAGCCGTTTTGTTGTAGTCCTTAAAAAGAGATTCATGTAAAAGCTTTTAACTCTGAGCGTCATGACTTTGCAGATGTTCAAACAGGAACATTACACACAAGCTAAAGTTAGAAAAATGAACTCATAATCGTTCCCCTTTAAGATGAATTAAAAAAAGTGGACCACTTTTTGAATGTCCTAGAAAGCCTCCTGCAGGAGTGACTGTGAAATCGCTGTAGTTTCTGAGGCTTTGACAGGAGACGGTCTTCCTTCTGTTGTGGTGTGTGTGTGTGTGTGCAGACGGCTACATCTCCGTGATGAATGTGGAGTTGAACATCAAGGAGATGCTGGAGCTGGGGAAGAAGGCGTCGCAGGCCGCCGGACGAGGCCAGACCGACGGAGATAACCTCAGCTTCAGCAGCAGGTAGAGAGGAAACATATCCATATCCACACACACTCGATGACATCATGCATATGAAATAAAGCTCACTGTCAAGTTAACCATGGATTGGCAGCTAGGGGTGTTACGATACACTGATATGGATCAGAAGACTAATGACACGATGTATAGATGCAACACCTTTATTCTGACGCTTGGCATCTCTGGCTGTGTTTACACTGCCACAAAAAATCCTATTTTTTACACGCTTTCTCACATGTAAACGCACAAATATGCATGATTTTTTCCGCAAACAAGCTCCTTTTTCAAATCTGTCCGGATTAATACAATCTTCTTTGCCAGAAATGAATTTTAAACACATATATCAGATACCAGTTGTGTCTAAAGTAGATCAAAACATCAGGCTCATAATAATGACTATATCAGTCGATGTACCGCTAGATAGAGGTGAAATTGTCTCGCCGCGTGTTAAGCTGTTGGGACACATCAAATAGCTGGCTAAGATGATCGATTTTGTATCGTATTGCGACAAAACGTTGGATTTACACCCCTGTTGGCAACCTTGTGTTGTAAATCTGTATCAATTGACAGTGTATTTCTATTCTCACTGGGTGGATATGAACTTTATAAACTTAAAATTCTAGGTTTCAAAAACTTTGTCTTGTTGCTGTCATGTTAATGAAATCATTTGATTATAATTTGTATATTAGTGAATGTAAGATTATTTTATCAACATTGATTCATTTCTTTTCAAATAATTTTAGTAAATCATATTTATTTGATTGCAGCATGTATTACTGATTCCCATCATTAAATGGTTTATCACTCACATCAGCCATAGACCTGCTCTCTAAGATATGCACATCATATATATATACTACCGGTCAAAAGTTTTAGATCGGTAAGATTTTTTTATGTTTTTAAAAGAAGTCTCTTGGGCTCACCAAGGCTGCAATTATTTGATAAAAAATACAAAAAAAAACAGTAATATTGTGAAATATTATTACAATTTAAAACAGCGGTTTTCTTTGTGAATATATAGTGAAGTGTAATTTATTCCTGTGATCAAACCTGCGATTTAAAAAAAAAAAATTTTTGCATCCTAACTCCAGTCTTCAGTGTGACATGATCCTACAGAAATTATTATAATATGATGCTCAAGAAAGATTTATGATTATTATCCATGTTGAAAACAGTTTTTTACATTTTCATTTCAGGATTCTTTGATGAATAGAAAGTTCAAAAGAACAGAATTGATCTGAAATGGAAATTAAGCTTTTGTAACATTAATCACTACCATTCAAAAGTTTGGGGTCAGTAAGAATTTATTTTTTATTTTTGGGGGGAAAGAAATTAGAAAATACTTTTATTCATCAAGGATGAGTTAAATTGATCAAAAGTTACAGTAAAAACATTTATAATGTTAGAAACGATTATATTTTAAATAAATGCTGTCCTTTTGAACTTTCTATTCAACATAGAATTTTGGGGGAAAATGGTACACGACTGTTTTCAACATTGAAAATAATAATTTATGTTTTTTGAGCATCAGATCCTCATATTAGAATGATTTCTGAAGGATCATGTGACACTGAAGACTGGAGTAATGATGATAAATTCAGCTTTCATCACAGGAATAAATTACACTTCACTATATATTCACATAGAAAACCGCTGTTTTAAATTGTAATAATATTTCACAATATTTCTGTTTTTTTTGTTGTATTTATCAAATAATTGCAGCCTTGGTGAGCAGAAGAGACTTCTTTTAAAAACATAAAAAAATCTTACCGATCTTAAACTTTTGACCAGTAGTGTATACGGTTTAAATTTTTGGCTATAATGTATAATATATCTATATTATGTATAGATGCTGTTAAATCAAAACATATATCATAGACTCAAATGAGACGCTTTAAACACTGTATTGTCATAGTAATGTGTGTGAACGGTCTGATGTTTGCAGGTCGTCTCATCAGAATCCGGTGTTCACCAGCAGCTGTAAGTCTTCTGTTCCTCTTTCTTCAGCCGTGTGTTGAGTGTGTTGGCAGCCTGGCACTTTCTTTAACACCTGGCGGTGGTGAAATAATAATCCTGTGTGGTTTAACAGCCGCTGCTTTCTCAGATCGGCTTGGGTTAAAACGTTTTAAAACTACATTTCAGTAGTAGTTTATTTTATTAGGTCTATAGACAACAAAAACAAATGAATATGCAACTGAGTGTTAAGTTATAATATAAAATTGACTACTCTTTCGTGGCTTTACTGTGCTTTAAAGATTGCTTCTTAACATCAAGCATATCCCGCTCTTCGCTGTGTTACACAGAGGAGACGAACAAACCGATTTTTTGGTTAATCTTCAACATTTTTGCCGTTTAACATTCATTTGGATTGTCCTTTTTGGGAGTTTACACGGAAAAATAATCGTTGAAGAGTTCAGATGCAAAAGCCTCTAAATGCCATTTGAAATTTTCTTCTAAAATGATCATTTTTATCAAGCTTGTATATTCAAGTTCAGTAATTTCACTTGAATGACAATTCATAGGTAATCTTCATTGCAATTTAAGTGAAATTACTGAATTTAAATATACAAGCTTGATAAAAATCATCATTAAAGAAGAAAATTTCAAATGGCACTTAGAACCTTTTGCATCTGAACTCTTCAGTTTTAAAATTAAGTGGCTTGTAGATCTCAGTTTACAGGACTACTTATTCATTTCATAAACAACGACTGTCTGTCCACAACTCTGGCAGCGCTTCATTGGCGTCAGTGCTGTAATGTGACTGTAATCAATAGGGCTGAGTAATAAATATAGATTTCTCGATATTAATCGATTCTCATTAATACGAACCGATATCAATTCTTAAATCTCAAGAATCGATTAGTCATCCTGTTTCATTTGAATGAATGGGACATTGTATCGCGGCTGCGCGCATCCAAAAAATCGCAATAATCTTTGTCCTTTGTTACTATTGATATGAAACAAAGTCTCAATTTTCAAATTATGTCTTTTCTTTAGAATTTCAAAAACATAAATAGTGTTTTGGCGCTCTGGCGCAGTTCAAGAGAAGCAGCAGCGCTGATCTCTCTTCCGGCTTAATAATACCAGTTACAGCGCGAAATAAACATGAATGAGCATCTGAAGGTGTGTTAAAGATAGAGTACAACTTATCGAAATCTGTATCATGTCACATTGATTCGCTCAATCAGCGTTTCAACCGTGGAAAGACGTCAGTTCAACAGCTTGTAATCAATGTCATGTATCGTCATATTTACCTCAGAAAACCCACATAAACTCGTTAGTCAGCTAGAAAGAATAACTCTAGAGAGGAGCATTTTGCTAAATATATACACCATATTACATATGCATTATAATGTTCTTCAATATTTAATGCATATTTGAATAAATCTGGCAAGTTTTTATGACGGCCACCATTTAAATGTTTATATTTCATATAATCTTCTTATTATGAAAATAAATAAAAGTGTAATTTAAGTGTCTGTATAGCTACAAAACAGTTCATTATTACCTTCATATTAGGCTAATGAAGCCTAGTAGGCTACAACTAGACTCCCATAGTTTACAGCATTAGTTAAGAGATTTCTAATAGGAGATATTGGCCCAGACAGCAAACTGACATTGAATCAACGTGGAAACGACGTCTCTCATGACATTGAAACAACGTTGATTTTGCTCATCGAATTAACGTTGAACCAACGTCAGACGCGGCATTCTTCAAAGCTAAATAAAAATCGAAAATTGGTTTGCTTTCATAACGTTGAAACAACGCGTTGATTTCAAGTTGATTTTCCGTTAGTTTTGAAAGAATGACGCGTCTGACGTTGGTTCAACGTTAATTCGATGAGCAAAACTATGTCAGATCAACGTTGTTTCGATGTCATATTTCCACGTTGATTCAATGTCAGTTTGCTATCTGGGTTGATTCCCTTGAAAAATTGCCATTTATTGTAACTGATATCCAAAATAATCAATATTGAATCGAATCGAAATCGAATTGCAAGCTTGTGAATCGAAATCGAATTGTGAAATTTGTGTCAATAACCAGCCCTAGTAATCAAGGCACATGGGATCTGATGGAGCTGGTCCGTCTCCCTATAGTGAGTGCGTCCCTGGCGTCAGTGCCCTCTAACACCAGTGGCTGATGATCAGATCCAGCCGCAGCGTCATGTTTAACTGGGAAAAGTGCTGACAGGAAGGGAAAAAGTTTAACCGTAACCAAAGGGCAAACCCAGGAAAACAAGGGCAGATATGAGCCTTGAGTTTCTTGATAATACAATTAATTCGCCTTTGGCTAAGCCACGCCCTAGAATGTAGATTGACCAATCACAGTGCAGCCAAGAACGAGCTCCCACAGAGGTCCGACGCTTTGTCACAGCGCTCCATTGACTTTCAACACAGGCGTCTCATATTTTTGGTCTATTACCGTCGTAGTTTTATCCAAAATATGGTTAAACGTTGTGCCTCAGGCATTTGTAACACAGATGCGCGTTTCCCAGAGAGGTTGGAGGGGGTGTCCGTTTGATTGATTTCGGTTCTCATACCAGTTGTTGATACGCTAGCAAACGCTGCTAATAAATACAACGTTATCCACAAGTTTCCGAGGGGCGCTCCTGTAAAAAATAAAGTGGGTGAAACTTCCGGTGAGGCGGCGGAAGTAGCATTCCAATGGTATTTTGTGTGTTAGTTAGCGAAGAGGCTAGCTGTTTTTCGGAGAATTATTTTACTATTTAAAGACGCAAATCTTTATGAGAGATGTTGTTACGGAGCTCAGGGACAACATGTGCTGCTCGCGGTTGTATGTATAACCGGACTAAACTAATTTAGTGGCTTAAACGGGATTGTTTTGAACATAAGCTGAAAACGAAATCAGAGTGATCCTACCAGAGCCCGTCTCTGATCCTGCCAACGACTGTAGTTTCCATCACCTCCCAAAAGACGACGAATCTTCCTGTGTACATTTGTTTAAATTCTTAATATTCTATAAACTCTATCAGCATGTGTTTGGCTGTTCTCTACTGATGTTACACCTAAACTCAGGATCAAAGCCTGTGTTGACCGAATACCAAATGTGCCAGTTAATGTATTCAAGAAGCACATTCATTTATAATTTTGAATAAACTCCAAAGCACAATGACTAAGTGTGTATTTTTTATTTTAATTGTTTGTCAGCTCGCACAACTGTCTGTCACCATGCCTTGATGAGTATTGAATATTAATAATGTTATTATAATACTCCCAATCAACTACTGTGGAGGGTAAAGGTACTGTTATTTTACCCTTTTGAATTTGGTTGAGGTTGTGTTCCCATATCGTTAGCTAGTTTGGATCGCTATAACTTGAATGACTGTCAACTGTTGAATGAACGAGTGTCAAGCATGTCAAATCGCGCATTGTTTACTTTCAACCGGAAGTCGCGCCCACTTTTGACGCAAGGCATCATGGGGCGTAGGAAACTTGTGGATACTCGTGTAGTCCGTTTGCTTTGTAATAACGATTATAGAAGTGAATAGAGACCTACCAGCTTTGCATGAACAGTGTTGCTCCCTGATATTGTTAGTCCCAGCCTCCGTCTCCATTAGTAGGAAATGCGGTGGTTCATTTTTTGACTGTGACCGGTAACGTTATACTTTAGATGCCTTGTTGTTTGAAGTAGCAACAGTAACTAAGGGGGGCGGGGCTTAGCCAAAGGTGAATTATTTGTCTGACGTCTAAATAAGACAAGTAAATAAGACTCAAACAGTTCCCACTGTACTTGATCAATCTATTTTAACTACTTTTTAAACTAAAATAAGGTGCTACTAACATTTTCTGGGCCATTCTAGGATTTTCTGTGGAATTATGATTTATTTTTGATAGTTTTTGTTCAGTTGCGCACAGAAGAAACGCGTGTAAATCAGTTTCTAGAAAGAAATTGTGGATTATTTGAAAAGAAAAAAAAGCAAGGCTGCCAATATTTTGGGCCACCATTGCAGATGCATGTCAATATTTTTTCGTTTTCATGCATTTGACTTGTTCTTCCAGTCACGGATGACAGTGAGGAGTGGATGTATGAGGATGACACCTTGTCTCTCTCCGCTGAAAACTCGTGAGCTGAACTCGTTTCACACACATGGCCTCAGTTCACCTGAACTTTACACAGATCTCTACACTCGTGTGTGTGTCTCTCTCTCTTTATCTGCAGGAGTCAGGTGAAAGCGGTCTCCATGCCTGAGATCTGTGAGTGTGTTTCTGCTCTCTCTGCGCTGAGCTTGATGTGTTCTGTTCACTGTACTCTGGTCTCTCTCTTCTCAGTCGACAGCACCTCCTCGGCTCATCAGACGTTCAGTGACTGGAGCATTGAAGACGTCCACACACAGTGAGCCCAACGACACCACAGGGATATAACACAGCTGTGGAATCGTGTGTTACAGCTGCCAATCCACTCCATAGCAACCAAACAGAGCACCATAGCAACCATTTTGCAACAGCTAATATCTCAGCATCAAAACATTGTATCGCGATGGGGGTTGGGTCTTTTGACTCATGCTAGCACACAGGACTTCCAACATGCTAGCTGTGAATAGCTACACGCTAATGTTGATTAGTTACCCAGATAATAAACTGAGATTGAATAAACGTTTTGACATCGTTTTGCTCATCGAATTAGCGTTGAACCAACGTCAGACGCGCCATTCTTCAAAACTAATGGAAAATCAACTTGAAATCAACATCATTCGTTTCAACGTTAGGAAAGCAACTAACTGCGTCGATTTTCTGTTAGTTTTGAATAATGGCGCGTCTGACGTTGGTTCAACGCTAATTCGATGAGCAAAACAATGTCAGATCAACGTTGTTTCGATGTCACGAGAAACGTCGTTTCTACGTTGATTCAATGTCAGTTTGCTATCTGGGTAACTGCTAAATCATGCCGAGAACATGTTAAGAACGCTATAAAAACTCTATAGTAACCATATGTGACAACTACCAACCACTTAGTAACACCATATCAACCCGCCAGAATATGTTAGCAACCACCTAGAACACCCTAGCAACCGCCTATCTACACAAAAGCAACCACCCAGAACACCCTAGCAACTGCCTAGCAAGACCCTAGCAATTACCCATAATACCCTAGCAACTCCCTAGAAACACTAAAGCAACCACCCAGAGCACCCTAGCAACCACCTCGCAACCACCTAGAGCACCCTAGCAACCATAAACTACATTACCAAGCCATATTTCAGCTCAAGAAAATAGTAGAAACATGGAGTTTGGCTTTTTTGACTTAGAGTGTCAACTAGTCTGTAAATATCATCTCAGAAACTGTATAAGAACACCATAGCAACCATATAGAGTACCCTAGCAACCACCTAAACATATGATTAAGCCATATCTCAGCACCAGAATGTCGTACAGACATGGTTGTTGGCTCGTATGCAATAATGTACTACACTCTAGCTTCCGAGACTGTTTTGCGGAAATATCCAGTAGTTATTAAGACCGGACAGTGTTGTGGTGTTCATTAATGTGAAAAGGTAATAGGTTAGACATTAAGCTCAAAAACACCAAATGAAAATTAATTCTCTCCCAAAGTTAAATGCTTTTATCGCTTAATTTTAGCTTTCATCTGATTTCGATAGTTCCCTTTTTCGAATTTTCCACTAACTATAAGTAACTACATATATGTAATGAGTATTAGGAGACTGTCAGGTTCAGGTTAGTGGAGTACTAGTATGTCTAAAGTGTGGACTCGATTTAAGGTGTTATTTTATTCATAGTTATACAATTTTTTTGTAAATCAAGTATAGTATTTCATTGAACATTTGCAACTTTTTTGTATGGACCGATGATCAAAGTAAGTGATTATAGTAACTATTCCCATCAATTCCTTGCTATAGTTTGAATCTGAGTGTGAAGTGGAGACAGTCCAGTGTGTGTGTGTGTGTGTGTGATAATGTCCCGTCTCTGTGTTGGTGACAGAGAAGCAGAACACTTCCAGTTTGCAGATGTTGATCTTCTGCCTCCTCCGGCACTTTACGCCGACTCTCTTTGAGCCTGCGGTGAGGTTTATCTGCTGTATTCTTCAGCCACTGACCCGAGTTTCATATCTAACATTTTACAAACGCAAAGTCTCTGACATCATTTATTTTTCCTTCCACAGTGAGGTTGATTTCATACCTCGATCATAACCAAGGAAATCCACATTTCTTCAGGAGCTGGCGTTTGGAAAAAACTGGGCTTCAGTTTTACAGGTCGTCAGTCCTGTGTCTGAAGACTCGGTTTAACATTACAAGTGCAAAGAGAAAAACTGTGGCGTTTAATGAAAGTGAACTCTTGAGGTTTGAAGTGTTGCATTGGCACTGAGCGGCGAGGGCTCGATCGAGGACGGATAACACAATGGCAGATTAGGGGTTTTAATGAAATGAGGGTGTGGCACTTTGTCATATATGAACTATTGAATGACTTGCTAAAGGATTGAGAGAAACTTGTGCATGTTATCGATTAATTCACCTTTGCTTTTGTCGTTGTGTATCTCATTGTGTGGGAACTTTGGAAGTTGGTGGTTTGATTACATGTTTATAAATGAAAACATAACTTGTAAATGTTGGCGTGAAATAAATGGATCCAGCAGTGATTCTGACTTCTGTTTTTTCTTCTATTGAATGATGGCTGGATGAATGTGTGATAAAACTGTGCATTATGAAGAGTGAGCGTAATACTAAAACTAAATTATTCTGTACGTCTCTGTAAAAAATGAGTCATGGGTCTTGTAATTTTCATTAAAATGAATTTGATAATTTATAATATTTTTTAAAAATGTGTACTTTTCATTAATGAAATTTGTTTAGCGTTTGTTGATTTCCCTAATAAAACCAAGAGAGACTTTTTCCTCTTTTATTGAAGGAAATGTCAGCAGTTTTGAGGCTTGATTTGAAGAATGAAATAAGCAAATTAAACGACACAATTTTCATGTTTTGCTAAACTATCCCTTAAAAGTAGATTAAAAGTTAAAATATAATTACCCATTGTATAATTTTTGTATTTGTAAAAATATTTATTATTCATATTCCCTCTTTTATTGATTTATTTCGCCGATTTAAATACTCTCATTTGATGACTTTGTTCATTTTAAGGGCGGCACTGTTTTTAAACCTATATGCACCAGAATAATAATAATGATGATTTTTGACACACAGGAACATGAAAAAATAAACAAACAAAACTAACCGAGAATCTTCTAATTTCCTAAGCCCGTCTAACGGAGAGCCTCGGCACTTCCTACATCATCTTGGTTGCAGTTCCATTAGAATTCCACTTGAGGTGATCGCGGGCGAGTGCAGAATGAATGGGAGTCTATGGAGCTAAACGGCTAAATGTGTCTCTTTCTCCTTCTTGTCGTTAAATTAAAATATATTTTATTGTTGATTCCGCAAGTTGAATATAGATTATAGGCCAAAAGTCGAATGAACGAGTACTTATGTCCTTTTGATTTCTCACAGGTTAGGCCGTTGTTGGCCGGAGCACGATAGCATTCTGCTATTGTGTGACGTCATCACATTTTTGAACGGATTTTTAGAACAGATAAGAGAACTTAAAAAAGTAATTTTCAGTGGAGAGTATTATCTTAGCCCTCCCTTTTGAATGCAACTTTAAAATTACTTGACAAAAAATTACATCCTGAGAAAAGTGGATTTCTGGGGGTGAAACCCCATAGACTCCCATTCATTCTGCACTCGACCGCGAACGCCCCCGCATGGACAGAGACGTGTTACTGCAGCCAGTCCAGAAACCGGTGAATTTGTTTCATTTACAAAAGCCCTCAAAGTGATAAAAAAGAAAAATGCGATTAGTCTTTCATCTGTCATAGAAGAGTATGATTTAACAAAAAAAAAAACCTTAGCCCCTATTTTATTTTATTTATTTATTTTTATTTATTTATTTCATTCTAGTTTATTAATTTTATTTCATGCACTTGTTCTGTATGTATTTGTTTGTCTAATGTAAAGAATTGTTACTATTGCCTTACTGTTTGTACATGAATAATTGTTCGATAAAAAATAAAAAATAAAAATAAAAAAAAGGTCGCTCGCAGGAAGTTGGTCCGCACCGTATTACTTCCGGCCGAAACACGGAACAACAGTGTGAGTAAATCTAAATGAATTACTGCAGCTGCAGGTGAAACTGGACTGTAATGTTTTATATTTCAAGGTAAGGACACGATATAAATGAACGTTAAAATTGTATAGTTAATCTGAAAGCCAACACACATTTTGCGATTGTCCTAACAATGTATGTTCGCAGGAGCATGAGCTAGTGTCTGAAGTAATTCAGCAGTCCAGCATCATCGCTGAATAAACCCCACTGACTGTTACTTCAGGTAAGTTAATTTGCCGTAATAATGAGGACATTCCGGTCATTTAAATCGCAATAATGTCTTAATTTAGTGCATTTGCTGTGGATGTCTCTTGCTGGTGTTTTAGTTTTCTTATCGACTCCCTTTCATTATTAGCTTTCATTCATTTTGACATCGTCTTTATGCGTTATAATAATAACTTCAATCAAAATACATTATTGTAAGACACGAACATATGGTGATGTAACTCCTGAGACTGAGAACATATGAATCAAAACTGCAGAACTTGATTATTATTATTATTAATGTGTGTTTTTCTTTCTTTAAAGCATTGTCTCACTATGTCCAAACATTGGGCTGCAGTGTTTTGAGTCAAATTGCTTGTTTCCCCCTCAGTGGTTTTGTGTGTTGGTTTTAAACACCTTTATGAATTCTGTCCTTTAAACTAAATGTCCTATTTCAACATATTTTTGCTATAAAACATTACCATGTGAAGCTGTCTTGTATGTCATGGGTAATAAAGGTGAATAAACACCACCTGTCATAATAAGTGTTGAAGATACTGGAGATATTTGTTTCGCAGTCATTAGGTGTGTATTGAAGCGGAGCGGTAGATCATCATCATGGGCCTGTTGTCTGACCCGAATCGCAGAAAAGCCCTGACCAACCTCCTGACCCGCCTCAACACACCCATATGGTATGTATATATATATATAATATGGTATTATGAATGAAAAAAAATATTTATTGTATCTATTCTTGTTTCATTAAGTTTCTGTGTTGATTTGCCTTTGAAATGCTATGCCATCACTTCCTGTCGCACTTGTGGTTCTCTTCATTGTGTTTCTTCAGTATGGTGTGCTACCTGGCAGCCATAGTGTGGTTCATGGGCCTGGCGTTCGAGCCCTTCACGCTGCGCACGTACATGTCGGAGAACGCCATGGGGTCCACCATGGTGGAGGAGCGCTTCTCCGCGGGCGAGCGGGCGCTGGCCACCGCCAAGGAGTTCGACGCTCACAAGAGGAAGGCAGGGTGAGTCCGTCAGTGTCTGAGCAACACCAGCGCTTGGTGATTTTGAAAAAAATGGTCAAAAAAGAAAATCACATACCCCACCTTTAAGTAAATCATGTTCCATGAAGATATTTTGAGTGAATGCAGCACATGCACGAACATTAATACACAACTTTAAAGGAGATTTTTCAATGTTTCTATATATTTTTTTTTTTTTTGACCCTCAGATTCCAGATTTTCAGTAGTGTATCTCATCCAAATATTGTCCTGTCCTAACAAAGAAAAGCTTATTCATTGTATAAATCTCAATTTTAAAGAACTGACCCATGTGACTGGTTTTGTATATATAAAATAAATTATTTAGAATAAATACTTTAATTTTCGATAAACCCCAAGAGTTGACCATTGTTGATTTGATGCGGACTCTAAAAGAGCTGATGTGTGTGTGTGTGCAGAGGGATGCCGGTGGACTGGTTAGTGAAGACGATGCAGGCTCGAGGACTGGAGGTGTTCACCCAGAGCTTCTCCCGCAAGCTGCCGTTCCCTGATGAGAACAAGGAGAGATATGTGAGTCTGTCACGAGTTTGACCCTACATCAGGCAGATGACCTGTGCTGACTTTATTCGCGAATATTATGCATTGAATCATTCGGTTCAACTTTATTTGAATGTTATAGTTATAGATGTGAGTACTACTAAGTAATAATAATTAACCCTCTGATGGTCTTTGGTCACTTCTGACCGAATAATTTTCTGTTTTGAATAATTAAAAATCACAGCTTCATCGGAGGGTTATGATTCTTGGTGACTTTTTTGGCATTGGGTATGTGAATACCAAAAAAAATTGAGGTCATGATCCGAGCATGCTAAGTGGTCGTAAAAAAAATAGTCACACTCGTGGTCTTCTGTCAGAAATGACTGACCTATAGGAAATGAATGGGAAATTTACAAAAATTCTCTGAATTTTTGTTTGTACAATCTACAAATCGGCCACGATTCTTAAAAGAAGTACACCGCAGTAAAGGAGTGACACTCTACAACATCAAGAGTGCAAAAAATTTACACCCACCCACACACACACACATACAAACACACTTTTATACACATACACACCAATAAATTCAGACTACAAAAAATCTGTTTTGAATTATTTAAAATCACAGCTTCAACGGAAGGTTATGATACTTGGTAACTTTTTTGGCATTAGGTATGTGAACACAAAAAAATTGAGTTCATGATCTGGGCATGCTAAAGTGGACGTAAAAAATTAGTCAAAAATGACCCCCTTAGGAAATGAATGGGAAATTGACAAAAACACAAAAATTCACTTTTTTTTTTAACAATATTTTAAATAAGAAATAGTTTTTTAGATTGTTTCAATTATATATTCAAAAAAAAATGTGTTCATAAACAGCTGGGGAATTCACATGCCTCTCCATAGAGAGCTGTACATGTCATCTAGTGATTACACCATGATTCTACGCTTTTTCTCTATACTGTAACCAGATGGTGCTAATTTTCTTCAAAAAATATTTTTTTTCTGAAGGCCTAGACTCTATATTAAACTAAAATACTGCATTAATATTTTTTAAAAAAAAATATATATAGAAAAATATATATACATTTCCATGGCAAAAATAAACCATAAATATTGCATAAATATTAATAAATTCAATCAAATTATCTCAAACTACTAAATTAAAAAGAATAAATATTATAGATCAAAAATAAATTGCATTGGTTTTACTGGGATGGAAGAAGTTTCATTTTTAGGCCTCTGGTCGCTTCTGACCGGGAAGGCCCAGGACGTGACTCATAAAGGAAGACCTTCAGAGGGGTAAATACATGTACTTACTTTAGGATCAGGGTTAGTTGCATGTAATTATGCCTGGGTTATAGTTATTACTATAGTAAACACAGGTAATGTGTGTAAGGACACATTAAAGTGTTACCAATAATTTTGTGACTTTAGTTTTTTTTTGTTTAAATAGCAAAAGGCAAGACTGGCATTGTGTTCATGTTTGGAGTCTCAATGATGAGGAGGTATAAGTGAATAAAAGCTGTTTTCCGGTGTGTTTTGTCCAGATGGTTCGAGGCACGAATGTGTACGGGATCCTGCGTGCTCCCCGCGCTCCTCGCACAGAGGCACTCGTCATCAGCGCCCCCTGCAGTCCTGGACACAGCAACAACCAGGCGGTCGGCCTTCTGCTGGCTCTCGCGCAGTACTTCAGGAGTAAGACACGGGTCACACGGGGCTGTGTATCTGAGGCCCTGGTTACACTCGCTGTTTTCATGCGTTTTGGTGGATCGGATCACAAATAGACCAGAGACACATTTACACCTGGTGTTTAAATCCGTCTGTTCTGTCCACTTTAACACACTTCTGTCCTGGTTTCTTCGAGGCGAGGGTCTATGTTCGAGTGAATGTAGTGTTTTTTCACATCTAAGCTTCTGCCAGCCAAACGCTGTGAGTGTGTGTTAGAGATCAGGAATGGAGAGAACATTGTGCTTGGGACATTTTTCATCTTCAGACCAAACTTGGGTCGTAAGTGGACAAGATCAAAACCTCTTAAAGGGTTAGTTCACCCAAAAATGAAAATTCTGTCAGTATTTACTCACCCTCATGTTGTTTCAACCCCGTAAGACCTTCGTTCATCTTCGGAACACAAATTAAGATATTTAAGATATTAAGATCGCTCCTGCATACAGTCCATAGGCTTCTTGAGGGACTGGCTCTTGCTGTCCTCGAAAAGTCATTAAAGACATCGTTAAAATAGTCCAAGTGACTACAGTGGCTCAATCTTAACTTTATCAAACGACGAGAACACTTTTGTGCGCAAAAAAACAACAAAAATAACGACTTTATTTCAACTATTCACTTCCTTCTCCATGGGCCTGTAGTCAGTTAACGTAGTGTGATTGCGTAGAGCTACGTCACACGTAGGCTCACTATTGGCCGACGCTGGTCATGTGTGTGTGATTCGTGTGACGTACAATAACAGAAGCTTACACTATTAAACTAGTAACCTGACTCGCGCAGAGGGAGAAATAAACGAATAGTTGAAATAAAGTCGTTATTTTTGTTGTTTTTTTGCGCACAAAAGTGTTCTCGTCGTTTGATAAACTTAAGATTGAGCCCCTGTAGTCACTTGGACTATTTTAACGATGTCTTTAATGACTTTTCGGGGACAGCAAGAGCCAGTCCCTCAAGAAGCCTATGGACTGTATGCAGGAGCGATCTTAATATCTTAATTTGTGTTCCGAAGATGAACGAAGGTCTTACGGGGTTGGAACAACATGAGGGTGAGTAAATACTGACAGAATTTTCATTTTTGGGTGAACTAACCCTTTAAACCCGGTTTCCAGCTGTATTTAGTGTCGTCCACTCGTGATCCGATCGGCCGAAACGCATCCGAACACTGGCAGTAAACAGGGCCTGAGCGCTGGTATGCTGCTGGGAAAGTGGGCGGGGCCTATATGGGTGCAGCCAGAAGTGGGCGGGGCTTACGACAAAAGCTCCTCGAATTACATGAGAATCTGGTTGTTAATGTAATTCTGTTCCCTCCATAGTTATGACAAGAATGCCTTAAATAACTTAATATTACTATTTATTATAATTATGCTTCTATAGATATTATAATTATGTTTCTATAGATTCTATCTAATTTAATCAATAATTTGAAATGTGATATAAAAGGGGATAAAAATCTTTTCTTTTAAATGAATTGGAACTTTGAATTTCTGCCTTAAATAAGAGGACTCAATGTAAAATAGCTGATCAGAGAACCTAGAAATATTCAGTGTGTGAAACATTCTAAACTCATCTTTACTATACTTGTATATTCAAATCTGAACAGTCAGAAAAGGGTACGTAAATGTCGGAGAAAAACGTATCAGATTGTACAAGGTTTGCCACATTTAAATACACGTCAAGGAGTACTTTGTAGATAATGTGTATGATGTAGTATTTTAGTTGAGAAAGCTGATTTCTGACTGACTGCACACGTTTCCCTTAATCTAATGAAAAACATCTGAATATTCAAAGCTTTTAGTTTCAGACGTAGACTAGTCTAAAAATCAGGCCTGCTTAATGTATTCATTTGGGGTCTGCTAAAATCCTTTATTTCTGAATTAGAAATGCAGATTTGTCCCGTAAATTATTAAGTGCAGTTTTGGCCATTTGTTTGAAAGTCTTTATTTGGTGAGAAATAGCTTGAACTCTCAAGAGAGTCTTAAGACATGTGTCAAGAATAAAACGACTGCAATAGGGGATTATCACACTGATCCGTGGTACTTCCGGATTCAGTGATCTTTGTGCACTGCCACTTCCGTTGAATCACCGATCTCGCTGGCGAACTGATGACGGACTACACTAAGTTCATTTATACGGCATCCCCTTCACTAAAGTGCCGGCTGCAAACAAACGTGCTACCTTGTTTTATTTTAAAGTCTTAATCCACTTCTTCCTTATACTCAATTCAGTCGGGAATCCATGAAAACTTACATATTGGACAAGATTGAAGTGGACATGCACAAAGTTGACAAATCCCGCCCATGAAACCCGGAAGCGTGATAATCCCCTGTCGGCCCTAAAAGATCCACATTTCTGTGATGCATAAAAAAAGAGACACTGAAAAATGTGCTTAACTTTGGGATTGGTGTGTGTTTATCATATTCATTCATTGCACCAGTTTTTACATGAATCACTTCTTACACAGTATTTAGAAAATTGGGCATTTTGTTCAAGATGTAATATAAAGGAATTAGGCAATTTCTTGAGGAATTCAAAAGTTTAATGTTTTTGGGAAATACAGTCTCCAAAAATCTCCCTGCACCTGTTTTGATAGGAGCAAAAAATAAACCAAGAAAATGATAAATTGTGGTTCCCATTTATATTTGTAATTGTATTGTGCCACCAAGTGGCCAAGCCCTGCAATGCAGTGTGCATTGCTAAACTAAAAATGGTCTAAATATCCACATTTTATAATATTATAAACATTATAATAATAGGATTAATACGCTTTAATTGGGCAACCGATCTAGGACTGTTTTTCGCTATATAATATAATAATGGTGTGTTTTCCCTCTATGCTGGTGAATTCTGAGAGGTTTAGTTTGTGTTATAAGGTTATATAAAGTATTCGGTTCTGTGCCTCTTGATAAGTTTGTATTAGGTGTAACACCCCCTGTTTTAAATAATTGGCTGATCCGCTTCTTCCCAAAGACCAGGTGTACTGGGCCAAAGACATCATCTTCCTGGTGAACGAGCACGATCTGATCGGCATGCAGGCCTGGCTGGAAGGATACCACCACACCAACATTACAGGTGTGTGTACAGACGCCTTCACTTCATCAAACATTTCCTCTAGGGGTGTGACGAGACGCTTATCGAGAACGAGACAATTTTAAGTTGGCTTGTGAAAGTTTGGAACAGAAAGTTTGAAGAAGTTTAAAGTAGTTTGAAGTTTAAATTAGTTTATAGTTTAAAGTTTAAATTAGTTTGAAATTTAAAGTAGTTTAAAGTTTAAAATAGTTTAAAGTTTAAAGTAGTCTGAAGTTTAAATTAAATTAAAGTTTAAAGTAGTTTGAAGTTTAAATTAGTTTATAGTTTAAATTAGTTTTGAAATTTAAAGTAGTTTGAAGTCTAAATTAGTTTAAAGTTTAAATTAGTCTAAAGTTTAAATTAAATTAAAGTTTAAAGTAGTTTGAAGTTTAAATTAGTTTAAAGTTAAATTAGTCTAAAGTTTAAATTAAATTAAAGTTTAAAGTAGTTTGAAGTTTAAAATAGTTTAAATTAGTTTGAAATTTAAAGTAGTTTGAAGTTTAAATTAGTTTAAAGTTTAAAATAGTCTAAAGTTTAAGTTAGTCTAAAGTTTAAATTAAATTAAAGTTTAAATTAGTTTGAAGTTTAAATTAGTTTAAAGTTTAATTTAGTTTAAAGTTTAAATTAGTTTGAAATTTAAATTAGTTTAAAGTTTAAATTAGTCTAAAGTTTAAATTAAATTAAAGGTTAAAGTAGTTTGAAGTTTAAATTAGTTTAAAGTTAAATTAGTCTAAAGTTTATATTAAATTAAAGTTTAAAGTAGTTTGAAGTTTAAATTAGTTTAAAGTCGTTTAAAGTTTAAAGTATAGTTTGAAATATATTTAAAGTTGCTACGGTGTTTCTAGTGGGTTGGTAAGGTGTTCTGGGTGGTTAAGGTGTTCTGGCTCTTTGCTAGGCAGTTGCTAAGGTACTTTGGTTGGTTGCTAGGGTGTTCTGAGTGGTTGTTAGGCGGTTGCTAGGGTGTTTTAATGTATTTTGGGTGGTTGCTAAGGTGTTCTACGGTATTTTGAGTGGTTGCTAAGGTGTTTTGGGTGGTTGCTAGGGTGTTCTGAGTGGTTGCCAAGGTGTTCTAACGTATTTTGTGAAGTTGCTAGGCGGTTGCTAAGAACTATCTTGCTAATAACTACCTTCAAGATTTTCTATAATTTTTTTTTTTATAGAAATCCTCAATGACAAAAGTCATGACTGGAATTGTCCGCATGTGGAACTAATAATCTTGTAATGAATGTCATTTCAGTTCAGAATTATCAAATGCATTGAAAGACCCCAATATACACGTACTGTAAAAGGTTTTGCCACAAACCCAACTGGCTTTCCTCCACATGAGTAGATAAGATATTAAACTATCTACTAGAACTGATCATGCTTCTGACTCTAAAAATATAACCTTATGATAAACTTTCATCCTATTTCCTCTTTCGGGCCTATTATTATGACTTTACTTCCCTTTTAGGCATCCTAACATTTCAACAATTTGAAAACTCATTCGAAACTAGTGAAAACTCATGACTTTGGTTGTAAAAATGACAAATATGGGAAATGAAACTAGATGGATGTCTAACCTTGAAACCTTTTGGTTACCTGGTCACAAGAGGGCTTGTCTATGAAGAAGGTTGAGGTTGTGTCATAACCCTATTCTAGAAAGCTGTTGTGTTCGTGTTTACTTGTGGGATTTGTCTGAGATCTCCCGGCCTTAAAGAGATACTCCACCCAAAAATGAAAATTCTGTCTCACTTGCAACAGTTGTATGAAACCTGTATGAGTTTCTTTCTTCGGCTGAACACAAAGAACGATTGGCTCTTTGACACCATTGACTTCCATGGTAAGAAAAAAAACGCTATAGTTAGTCAATGGTTTACGAGCAGACGTTTACGATGGTGTTTATTTGTGTAATGTGAATGTATCGGTGGCATATGCTAAGCTAACTTCACCCTAACGCTCTGTCATGGCGATATCGCGAATCAGCTTTTCACTCTCGGCACATTTTGTTCTCGTCACACCCCTAGTAATCTCACAGTTGCCCTCATTCAGTGAATCGGCAGCCGTGTGTGTGGTCATTGTCCCGCTCTCTCTCTGCCTCAGGGATGGAGTACTCGCCCCTGCAGGGCCGCGCCGGCTCGATTCAGGCCGCCCTGTCGCTGGAGCTCAGCAGTGATGTCATCACCAGCCTGGACCTGGTCCTGGAGGGGCTCAACGGGCAGCTGCCCAACCTGGACCTGGCCAACCTCTTCTACGCCTTCTGCCAGAAGCTGGGAGTGCTCTGCACCATCCAGGGGAAGGTGCGACACACTGGGCAAGCCCAGTTAGATTAGCGATGAAACTGTCTTCCATTACACTGTCACTATGTTCGATCGACAGTCGTGTGCCTCATATCCACGTGCTTTGGGGAGTTACAGAGACTATAAACAGTAGAAGCCGTGTCCCAAACACACAATTATAATGTAACTGTATTTTCTTTTTTAAAGTGATTCTAATGATATTTCAAGCGATTGAAACCCATCATGTTGAACACTCACTGTGCGCATCTGAAGAGTCTCAGCTGGAGGAAATCATACATTATTTATCGGCTTTAATGTATGTGCCCAATTTTCTTATCAGGCCGATAATGATAACATTAAAGATTAACATGTATCAGCCGATAGCAATATAGTGTATGTGTAACTTGTACATTTATTTTGTTTTTCAACATTGGCGTTTGATGCCCCTTCCCCTCCATACGTAAAGGAGTAGTTCACTTTAAAAAAAACTTTTGCTGATAATTTACTCACCCCCATGTCATCCAAGATGTCCATGTCTTTCTTTCTTCAGTCGAAAAGAAATTAAGGTTTTTGATGAAAACATTCCAGGATTTTCTCCATATAATGGACTTCAATGGGGACCAAACGGTTCAAGGTCCAAAAGACAGTTTCAGCGCAAACTGTTCAAAGGGCTTTAAACGATTACAGACGATGAATAAGGGTCTTATCAAGCGAAACGATCGCTCATTTAAAAAATAAATAACAAAGTTTAGGTTTTATAACAGGGTCCCCGCGGGTCCTTAAAGTCTTAAAACGTCTTAAATAAAATTTTCGCTTTTTAAGGCCTGAAAATGTCTTAAAATCTGAAATTTCCGATAAGGAGGAGGTCTTAAATTTCACATACAGACCTTAAATTTCTTGTCCGACTCGTCATCCGTTTTTTTGTTTTGTTTACAGTGTTCACGAGCGTTCATGCTTGGTTGCCAGATTTAAAAAGTTAAATCCCCAGTCAGAGCTTTTCTGTTAAAAGAACACGTTTTCTACCAGGTGCTCTGACGATTCATGCTACCCATCGAGATTCGCTACTTACCGGTTATGCGCATGTGACTCACAGTTTTTTTTTTTGTACAAAAGGTACATTTACCTGTTATAATGTATAATTTCCCTTTAAAAAATGCTTACTACCATATGAATATTTGTACGGTCAGCCAGCTGAAAAAGAATAACTGAAAGGTTCAGTTACTATGAGGAAAGGTGTACTTTGACAAGTCAAAGATGAATATTTTATGATAATTTTTACTTTTCACACCGTTTTAAAAATAAAAATAGTCGTCTACAGTATACGTAGCTACTCATAACTTATAATTGTATTATAATTGTATTTCATATACGACTTTAATCGGCATTCTGTGATCAATTCGCGCTACGGTAGCATTTTTCGATAAGGCAGCAAAAATCGACAGAACAACGGTCTTGTCAATAGTATCTGGCAACCATTCTCGCGCGCGCACTCTACACTCTGCTGAAGAAGCGCGGATGATCTGAAAACACAGACAAGTAGCGGGAGTTCAGTGATCTTCATTTTAAATTATCTACTTAAATTAATTAAAGTGTCATTCAGTTGATCTTTATTCTGTCACGAGCTGTTTGTGCGACTAATTAATGTTGATCATATTATTGCTAGACTAAAAACTATGAAAGAGAAAATTACTAAAATGTGACTAAGACCAATAAGAATTTTCATCTGAAGACTAAGACTAAAACAAAAATGGCTGCCAAAATTAACACTGTGGTGTCGTTCTGAACATTTTCCTTTTTTTTTTCTTTTTTTGTTGTGGTAAATTTGCCTTTATAGAGGACTTAAAAAGGTCTTAAAAGTCATTAAATTTGTTGTTAAAAAATGTGCAGATACCCTGTATAAGCTCGCCTTGACTCTCCTGTTCAAACAAAAAATCCTGGAATGTTTTCATCAAAAACCTTCATTTCTTTTCGACTGAAGAAAGAAAGACATGGACATCTTGGATGACATGGGGGAGAGTAAATTACCAGCAAAAGTTTTTTTCAAAAGTGACGTAAACGAGTTTAATGATTGATTTCAGTGTGAGACGCGCTGTTCTCCAGAGTTCATGTAAACGAGTCATCGCTGTTGCTCGTGTCTCCACAGCTCCAGAGGAACGACTGGGACACGGCGGAGGGCTACACACACGCGGCTCAGACCATGATGCTGATGGTGCTGAAACAGGCGTGTGGGCGCTCGTGGGGCGATCACGGCCTCTTCCTGCGATACCACATCGAAGCCGCCTCTATCCAGGGCATCAACAGTTTCAGGCACTACAAGATGGACGCCACCACCATTGGCAGGTTGGGTTTGTGTTAGGGCTCATAAAAATCGAATAATGTCATTTAATGAGAAAGACGTTTTTAGCTGAACAAGCTATGGTTAGGCAATACACACAACACCCTCACGATATATCTTAAGGTTTTCTTTTAGTTGAAAACATTAAACAATGTGTGTATGGTTAAACAAAAAAAATATAAGTAACAAAAGTATATTCGAATTGCACACCCCTAGTTTGTATTACACAGGAAATTCACAATTAATATCACAACCGTTTTACTTCTGAGAGCCATGGCCCATGGTAAGCAGTCAAACACTGTTTTATATGGCTGTTGTTGTTCCTTTAAGCCTAGTTCACACTACGTGATTTTAAGCCCGATTTAAGCCCGATTTGCAAATCGTTGAGTCGCCGACAAGTCAGGGTGTTATTGCGTGCAAATCGCGGGCGATTAGCGGACGATTAACGCTCGCCAATCCGTTAGTGTGAAAGAGCCAACAACGCATCAAAGACAGCTCGCAGACAGCTCGCAGACAGGTCACCGAGCTCAGAAAAATATCTAGCCTGCTAGATATCTCGAGCAGTCGCGCGACTCAATCTCAGTGATGTCATGAGTACAGCCAATCATAGCAACTTAGGTTGAGGACACCAGGTAAATCTTACTTTTTCTTTTCTTTTTTGCATTTTTTTTTCTCAGAGCAGATCGTCGAGCAAACAGTGTGCAGCACTAGTTTCTGTCTGACGTCCATATTCGCGTGTTGTGTTCTTCTCTGCAGTTTCGCGTAATTTCTGGTTCGTTTTAATGCGTGGTTTTTCGTGACAAAACATGGTTTCTAGACCAGATAGAATCGTGTTGTTGTCAACTCGTTATTTGTTTGATTATTTTCAGGATTTAGACCGTACTATAGTACTGAAACAGCTCTCATTGAGTCACAAATGATATGCTCTTATCATCCGATCGTGGTTGTATCTCTATGTAGTGCGTTGTTAACTCGTGTAGTGAGTTACCTCCTGTTGTGGATCAATCACGTTGTGTTGTGTGGTGTGAACAGCTAAACAACTTGAACACTCATGATTTCACTGAGAGCAAGTCATGTAGTGTGAACTGCACAGTTCAGCCCGACATTTTAAAATCATGTAGTGTGAACTAGGCATTAGGGTCAGGGTTGAAGCCAGTATTGGGGTATTCAGATAAACTGACCATCCATCCTTACCTGTTGTTCTCCTCAGATTGTTGGAGGGAATGGCCCGTAAGCTGAACAATCTCCTGGAGCGTCTTCATCAGTCGTATTTCTTCTACCTCTTGCCTTCTCTCTCGCGGTTTGTGTCCATTGGCTACTATATGCCGGCGTTTGGCCTCCTGGCTGTCATCTTACTGCTTCGAGTATCCTTTTCAGTCTGTAAGGACTGGGTCCAGTTATTTATGATGAATGAACGTTTACACGACAATGATATGCTTAAAACAGAGATGGTTTTCCTTTGAGTTTTCTGTGTACAGACATCACCATTGTCAAAAACGCTGCATTCTGCTGCCAGGCCAGTAGATGGCGATGAAACCAAGGGGGTAATCCATCAGCCGGGAGTTGAAGCCGCCATTGTAGCAGAACTTCACCTGCTGTTAGCATCTCATAGACTCCCATTCATTTTGGCGTCACTTTGACGAATAACTTTACATCTGAGGCTTCCAAAGACTTCATTGCTAAAGATTGCGTCATCACTACTCAACTTTCTGTCGCACAATAGAGACATTACCGTATAGACAGGAGGAGAAGCTCGCAGGCAATCTTTTACTGTCTATGAGGCAATCGGGGGAACATGAAGGCACAAAGTCAAAGAGAAGCCTTATGGGAGAAGCCTAAAGATAGAGAGTCCACAAAAGCAACGGGACAAAATATGTCAATAACGTTTCTGAGGAATTAGATAATTCAGATTTGTCTTGGCACTCCTAGAAGATTTACTACTGTCAGACTGTTTGTCACGCTCAGTTTAAGCCTGCGCAGTCGCTCAAACATCAGACAGGAAGTGCAATAATCGGGCTTCAGTCTTCTCCTTTGAAATCAATGGGGTCGTTTTATCCATTTCTTTTGTCTTTTGGATGACGCACTATAGACTGAACACGTCATACGCTTGTGCTTGACGTCATGGTCTCCGATTTTGCTGTTCACACGGAGACCATTTTCAAAAACTTGCACTTTGAAACCCGTTTTCAAAAGTTTGCGCTTTCAGGCACACAAAACGGCGTTGTGGTGTAAACGAACGGCCGAAACACATAAAAAGTTTTACGTTTTTAGCCTGAAAGCAGTGTCGTGTGAACAGCCCGTTGGTTTTACTCATCTTTTTCTGTGTTTCCTTTTGGTTGTCTTGGGTTATGTTTACGCGGAAACGATTCTGAAGAGAAAACGCAAAAGTGGTGTTGCATTATCACTTTTTATTCTGCGTTTAGACGAGCGTTTTGGGTGGGAAATCCACATGCATATGATCAGAGGTGGGCACAAATACATCAAAAACTATTTTGTTACAAAATACAAATACTGGCTCATGAAATGTATTTAAATAAAATACAAAATACTGATGTGAAAAATGTATTTAAATAAAATACAAGTAATTAGTATTTTGAAAATACAAAAATAGTCCCACAATAATCTTATTAATAATAATAATCACAATAGTCTTTTTTTATTACTCTAAGGTCAATAACACAAATAGTAGCAATAACACAAATATTATAAATGTGTAAATTCAAAATGGCAAAGTAGCAAAATAAAAAAGTTTGGTCATTTCACTAAATCTCTACAGGGCCTGAAATAGCACCCTCTGACATAACTGGCATGTATAGCTAAGTTCACATCAATGGTGTGGTAGTTTTATACAAAATTGATATGTAATACATTTATATTGTGTGAACGCTTGCTTATCATTGAGATTTCAGTAAAGTTGTGACAGACGCGCCGTTTCATAATAGGTAGGGCCTATGAAAGGTTAGGGTTGGGGACGATTTCGCGTGCAGCCGTGCACAAGCACAAAACCTCACAACACCCACCGCGTCGGTGATTGGTAACTTGAAACACTGTTTATTTAGGTTTTAGTGGTTGGTGAACCCATTGTTTTTGTGTGCAGATCTCAGAGTCTTGGTAGCCTAGAGAGACACGGTTTTTCAAAACATTCCCATCCCAAGGCGGCATATACAACACTTTTGCCAAAACGTAGACATCCAACGCACATGGCACCCTTTAGCATCTATATAACATGCACAGAGTATGGGTAGGTTTAGGTCTGGGGTAGGGTTAGGGTTAGACCACTAGGAGGCGCCTTCTGCCTATATATATCTGCGTCTCATATTGACGCTAAAGGGTGCCATGTGCTTTGGATGTCTACGCTTTGGCAAAAGCTTCGTATATGACGCCTTGGGATGGGAACGGGCTGGGTTTTTAGAGACAACACAAGCACATGGCCCAAAAAAAGGCCATGTGCTTGCACACAAAACATGGGTCTGTCATGATCCTGCCTCAAGACTAGAGAAAATCAAGGACACAAGGGCAGAATCATGACATTACTATGGTGATTTTTCTTAAGTATTTGAAATACTCAAATACACTCTGTCAAAATATTTTGTTACAAACTACATTTTATTTTTTCCACACCTGCAAAATACAAATTACAAAATACACTAAAGTAATTAAATGCGTATTTCAAATACATTTAATTGAAATACTGCCCATGTCTGCATATGATGACGCAAAATAATGTGAAATTCAATGTAGTATGCACTCCAGGCGGCTAAGAGTGCATACTACAACAACACCAAGTCCACGCGCCTGCGTACAACCTTCACTGTCGAGCAGACTTTTGCGTTTTTACCGTTTACACGGGAACGCAGCGGTGGAGCGTTTTTAAGATTTCCACTCTGGAGGGTGGTTTCACTTTTTTACGTTTTTAAGCCCCAAAAACGCCGTCGCCGTGTAAACGAAAGGCACATCCGATAAAATATTTTGTACGTTTTCACCCGCGAGCATTCTCGTGTAAACAGGGCCTTGCTTTCTAAGTATGTTCTATGTTCGTTGTCATAGTTACTCATTGTTTGATTGATTTCCGTCACCTGCTCCTTGTTTGGTTCATCAGTTTGCTCTGTTCTTTGTCTGGTGTTGTTTGTGTGTAGAGCACATTGTTAATGCGTAATGTGTTCTTTGTCAGGCCATGTGACACCATTGTCAAAACAATCCTCATTCACATGGATGTGGCGAAAACTAAAAAAAAACGGTGTATTCTGCTGCCAGGCCTCTAGATGGCGATGAAACACTGTAGACTGAACACGTCATACGCATGTGCATGACTTCATCGTCTACAGATATTTACGATTTTGCTGTTCACATGGAGACCATTTTAAAAAACTTGCACTTTGCACGGTGTCTACTTTTCGAAAACTCCACGAAAAGAACAAGAGGAAGGCAAGAAACTCTCACTGATAAATACTGTAGCAATGTACAGTAAACCAACGAATGTACTGTTCAATCAAATTAGTGCAGATACAAGTTAATTTTCACTATTAGGACCCATTCAGAATTATCTGTACTGACCAAAATCCAGCATTTTGGTTGTGTATTTTGTCTAGTCAGTTCAATAGGAATCAACATGATCGGGCGAGGGCGAACGTTGGTCCGGCGGGTTCGCCATGTTGACAAAAGCTGGTTTGTAATGGACTTCAGTGTGAGCCGGCTTCATGATGCTCTACACTATTCACAATTACACAAGGGGCCTTTTTTCCCACTCCTAGATTGGAAATATGCTTGTGTGATGATTATTGTGGTGCATCTTAAGATTTTTTTCTGAACAAAGCCAACGGGGCATAACTCAGAACCGAACACTCTTTTTCTCCAGAATAGGATGATGTGTTTGTGTGAGTCCTTAATTTGATCTCAGGCTCTGGATCTCTGGGTTCATCTGGGAACGCCGGATGTGGCCGCGGTCGATGGAGTCAGTGAAGCCGAGCGGGTAAGTCTCCTGTTATTTTAAGGTGCACAGTGAGTGTCATTTGTTTCCCACTGAGTTTTTAGTGTTTAAATGTTGATAGTTGATAAATATGTGGATGAGGACAGTACTCTCTTTCTTAGATCGATAATCTACGCGCAGAAAGTAAAATTACACCTAATTATATTTTAGGATGTCTGTTATCTAGTAAAATTACAAGTCAACCTTTATTTATATGCCACTTTATACATTACTGATGATTTCAAAGCAGCTTTACAGTGTTAAAGAGGAACAACTAGTGATGCAAACTCTAAAAGACAATAATAAAAATACGTTATTCTGGTGAAATACGTTATAAATGAAAATTGGAAATGTTGTCTTGTTCAAAATGATCAAATGGAAATAAATTAAATTAAAGCTAAATGCCAGTATTACAAAAACAAATAAAATAACAAAAGCACATAATGAAATCACCAATAATTAAACAAAAACGAATTCAAAACCTTAATAAAACTAAAATAAAATGGCCGTTGAGGAGGTTAACGCTGGAAGCCGTCTCGCTCCATTTTTCACGATCCAGTCCGTCCCAGATTAATACAATTCTGCCTCGGCTCAGTTTTTCTCATTCTGCTTCACCACAATTGTTACATGCCGGAAAGCAACATAGAGTCGGCCCAGATCCGGCCCACATCTGGTTTACGTGGATCCACACATCCCGCATCTGGGTCGACACTGCTACTGTCTGGGTGTTGACTTTCACGTTTAATATTTAATGTGTCAGTGAGCGTAACGATTGTTTCCTGTGTTTGTCTTTAGCCGCCGGGTCCGGGCGTGTTGTCAGTGTTGACCCCAGTGGTGATCAGTCACCTGACCGGTGTGGCGCTGTACCTGCTTCCTGTTCATCTGCAGGAGATCGCAGTTGAGCACTTCCCTGTGTCTGAAACTGAAGCTGTGGTGCTCACTGCTATTGCCATCTACACCGCAGGCCTAGCCCTGCCACACAACACACAACGGTACACACACGGACTCTTCTTAAAGTCCCAAGTACACTTCACTGTCCGCGTGACGTAGTTTTCATCATCTGGAGGGTCCGAGTGGACGGTACTCATACAGCGCTTGAGACGGAAGAGTCCACTAGGTGGCAGTAGTGATGTACCGTGCAGAAAGAGTTATAGAGACAGAGGAATCTCACACGTAACGGCAGCCAATCACAGTTAGTTTTGTTCCCGTCATGTTTAGGGACGTGACGATATAATGTCGATGTCCCCACAATAACAGACCGGCGTGCATCTAAAAAATGATTCATTCAAGAGACGTTGTGCGAGTGTACTGCAACATTGGAGCCGCGAACTTCACACACTTCGCTCATTGTCACGGTTGTAAACACAGCGGCGATCTTTTTCCACAAGGGCATCACAGCATTTGTTCCCAGGCGGACCGATAAAGAACGCGACACGAACGTCTCTCGGACATCCTGTAGAGTTCAACCAATCAGATCGTGACCTCGAAATCAGATGTTCAGCCTACGGTCATCATGGTGATTGGCCACATGGTGGCGCTATAACATGAAAAAAACCATAAAAAGGGCCGTTATTCCGATTGACTTGAAAATTGGTATGCAGTGTCTTGGTCCAAGGCCCCCATATATGTGTTTGAGGACATTGGCGTATCTCAAAAAACATGGCCGCCATCGGCCAATGAAGTTTGAGCACCTATGAGATAAGGTTAACAAAGGCCGATCGGAACGAAACTCAATGGGCATGTTCGACTCTAGTTGAGTTCAACCAATCAGATCGCGACCTCGAAACTCCTGAAGTGTTTATAGAAAAGTGTGCCGTGTGCATCAGACATTCAGCCAGCGGTTCATGGCGTCTGAGCCTGAGACTATGTGTGTTTATAGACACTGTTTTACTATACAAATTTTATTATTCAACTATTTATTAGACAACAATTTATTATACAAATTCCTCAATATATAGTCCTAATTTTAAACTTTTAGGGTGTGTTCACACTTGTTGAGTTTGAAGTAATCCCGGTCCGCTAAGCGTTCACATATAGCGTCATAATCTGAAAGCCACGCCAACCATCAACCCTTTCCATTGACTATTGCGAGAAGCTTCCTCCTTGTCTCTTCTTACTTGCAACAAAAAACAAAACAACGTCTAAAAGCTGCAATGTGACGGGGGTGTACAGCAAACAAACTAAAAACCCAGAACTACGTTTTATATGCTGTGTCGACCCAAAGAAATTAGCGTTTATGGACACAAAAGTGAATACAAACAGAGTGCAACGTGTCATATTACTCTGAGAACTAACTCACGCCCCCTGGAGGGGAACGTAATAAGCGACAGGATAACACACATTACAGATATATATATATATATATATATATATATATATATGAAGAGTTCAGATGCAAAAGCCTCTAAATGCCATTTGAAATTTTCTTCTTTAATGATGATTTTTATCAAGCTTGTATATTTAAGTTCAGTGATTATATTTAAATGGCAATGATAATTACCTATTAATTGTTATTTAAGTGAAATTACTGAACTTAAATATACATGTTTGATAAAAATCATCATTAAAGAAGAAAATTTCAAATGGCATTTAGAGGCTTTTGCATCTGAACTCTTCATATATAAACTGACATTTGGATGTTTACTGTTGACAATGTTTCCTGCACGTGTAGAGTGTATTTTTAGTACACTGAGTGTCAGGATCCCACAATTAACCCATTCTTCCAGCTGATGCGTCACATCTTATTGCCTGTATCCACTTTTGTGTCCTCAAAGGCTCGTTTTTACGGTTCGGTAGCTTATAAAACTTAGTTCTGCGTTATTTTAGCTTGTTTGCTGTACACCCTGTCAGACAGCAGCTCTGTCTCCATACACAACAACACATAGCAGGATTTCATTCGCCATCGTTTTTGTTTCGGTTCTTGTTCTAACCTTTGCGTGTAATGGCGGATCCGCTACTTTTCTTCTTCTATGCTTGCGAGCGAATGTCCTGTAAGTGATGTGACTCAGTGCTGCTATCTGGTGTCCGGTAGAGTACAGAAAGTAAATATCACTGCACATGTGAACTCATCCATCCACGGTCGAAACACGGATAGCAGGGTTCTCAAGTTTGAGCAAAAGCTTGGAGTGAGATCACACGTGGTTAGGGGAGGAGCCATAATGAAGCCCCGCCCCACCCATCCCCGCCCCCAATTTTACCCATTGTTCATAATTAACCAGAACAAATTAAAATTATAACAATTAGTAAATCTGATAAATGACAGAGCAATTCATCACATCAAATACTCTTTAATGCAGTATTACAAATATAGCTAACCAAAAATATAACAAATTGCTCCAAACAGTTTCAAACAAATCTTTAAAAATTGCATTTTGATTTTTGAATGCGTCTTCTATCTAGACGAATGATTTATTGTGTGGTGGGACATTGAGAACAAATGGACAGATTAGAGTGCACCACCTCTTCCACTGTCTCCTCTAATCTGGCAACCTTTTTAGGGGGCTTACCCTTTGGTGCCCAAAATGACAAAATATCTTTCTGCTTTTTTCCTGACATCTTTGAAAAATACAAATGCAACATTATGACAATGATTAAATATTACCCAGAGCAATCTGCTGTAATACATCCTTAATGTAACTAGAAAGACTATTAATATTACAGTATAATATAATTTAAAATAAAATGAGTAAATCTTCATTCCTTTCCATACCCACTAACATTTCTCTTAGTTTCAGATAACGTAAGATAGCCAAACTGAGCCTGGTTGCAAAGTAGCCTAGTTGTAGAGTTTTTGACTGCATCAATAATAATGTACGATGGGCTACATATTAAATGTTCTAGCCCAAAAATGTTAGACGAGCTTCTTCCAACTTACCTTCTTCTCCATCACGACACATGTGTTCGCGCGATGTTGTTGGTTACCTAGTAACGAACGTACGGTGGCCGAGGATGTTCCGTCCATTTCCGTGTGTTCGCGCTACTGAATGACATGTCATGTATAGATCAGTGGTGCACGCAGCACGCATATATGTTGCCTAGTAACGAACGCAATCTGGCGGAGATACGCGCTGGCGGCAGGAAACTTCACTCTGTTTGCCTGCGCCTCGTATACAACGTTAGAAAGCTTTCAGCCAGGACAACTTGGTTGGCATTGCCTTTTCAGCGTGAGAAATACACAGTGTGGCGTGTGAGCGTGTGAACCGGTCGAAATGAGTGTGTTTCACGGCCAATGCGTGAGACTTGAGAACCCTGACGGATAGTGAAGTATACCCGGGGCTTAATGCGCTTTCCACTGTGCCAGATGTTTATTCCCCAACCCTGATGGTGTGTGTTCTTGTGTCTGACAGGTTGTTGTCTGGAGAGGGAACGGAGCAGGGCTGGAAAGTGCTGAAACTGACGGCTCTGCTCTATCTCGCAGTGCTGTTGGGCTGCACGGCCCTCATTAACTTCTCTCTGGGCTTCATCTTGGCCGTCACACTGGTGCCCATCACCGCCAGCATCACGCCACACATGCCCAAGTACAAAACACTTTCAGCTAACACTCTTTTATATTTGTCGAGAATACTCTGAAGATAATCTGAGGCAATTTAGGTCAAATCTGGTGGAATTTGTTGAAATGACAATATAAGCAAATCTTTTTTTGCTTGTATTAAGACCCACTGGCCAAATTAAAGGGTTAGTTAACTAAAAAATGAAAATTCTGTCAGTATTTACTCACCCTCATGTTTTTCCAACCCCGTAAGACCTTCGTTCATCTTCGCAACACAAATTAAGATATTTAAGATATTAAGATCGCTCCTGCATACTAATCCATAGGCTTCTTGAGGGAATGACTCTTGCTGGCATCGAGAAGTCATCAAAGACATCGTTAAAATAGTCCGAGTGACTACAGGGGCTCAATTTTAACTTTATCAAACGACGAGAATATCGCAGATTCTGTCCAACATAAGAAGCCTCGGTATCCATCGAAAAATCTCTATGAACAAGAGCAGATTAAAAGCGGATAAATCAACTCATTAACTTTATCTGTAAGTGTCCATGGCTCCTTCCTGTTGCACGTGTCAATCTGGCAACCCATGTGAGCGTCGAGTCTGAGGAGGCGGGGAAACGACTCTCTTCGATATCCTGAATTTGGACTGCAGTACCGATTTCCACCACTAGCTGCCAATCTAACAGACTGCAGTTTTAACGTTACATGTTGATTTCATTGCCTCATCAGTCTGTGGTCAGCGATACCGATAACTGCTGAAGTTTAGAGGCTGTTTACACGACAACTAAAAACGTAAAACTTTAAATGTGTTTTGGCCGTTCGTTTACACGGCAACCGTGTTTTGGGCGCCTGAAAACGCAAAGTTTTCAAAACGGGTTTCAAAGTGCATGTTTTTGAGAACGGTCTCCATGTAATCCACAAAAACGTGAATCTCTGAAGACGATGACGTCATGTGTTCATTCTATAGACCTTATGTAGTCCCGCCCCTTTTCAGCACCGCATCGTTGTCTTTTGTCTTCCGGTCTGTATTTTCACAGCGATCTTGCATATTTATGAATGAACGGTTCGTTTTAAAATCTTCCCGGTTGACTGACATTTGTTAACTTTCGTTAACTTTACATGAAGTAAATCCACTTCAAAAGCTAATTACTCTTCGACAGCGATGCCATAGAGATATACAGAGCGGCCGCAAAAACGGAAGGTCAAAGACAATTTTCTAAAGATGGCGGCGCATACGGTCTATAGTGTATGTAGACGATGACGTCATCGCCATCGTGTTTCATCGCCATCTAGTGTCCTCGCAGCAGAATACAGCGTTTTTAGTCGTTTTTGCAGATCCACGTCTGTTTTCGGAAAACTCAAAGGAAAAACATCTCCAGTTTAAGCGTATCGTTGTCTTGTAAACGTACCCTAAGATATAAGTCAACTCACCTTTATTTATATAGCGCTTCTTACAATACAGATTGTATCAAAGCAGCTTCACAGTGAAAACCAAGATATAACCAAATTATACATCTCGAATGTGCTAGTGAGTGTTTCCTGTGTTCCTGGTCCTGTGCCTGTTGTCCTCTAACGCTGTGTTGTGTGTGTGTGTGTGTGTCAGAGCGCTGAGTGCTATGGTGATGGTGCTGCTCAGTCCTGCCTTCACCATCCTCTACTGCGTCTTCATCTACCAGGAGCTCATCGAGGTGCCCGTCAGCATCAGCGAGGGCTGGATGCTGTTCCTCTCGGTCATCTCGCAGGGCATTCTGGACCACGCGCTGTACGGCTCGCTCGTGTACCCGCTGCTAGCCCTGTTCGTGTACCCCTGCTGGCTGATGTTCTGGAACATCCTCTTCTGGAAGTAACCATCTTAGTTCTCTCAGAAAAACCACACGCTGTGCCAATCGTGAGGATTCGCTGTCCATCTGTGTCACTGGATCTAGGCGGATGTCAGGCGCTGCGAAAGTACGAATAAAGAGTGTTTAATGGTGTGACTTCAACGGTGAGACTTCTTCGGTTTTGAAGTTCAAGTATTGAGTGTGTTTGGGGGAATATAGGGATTTATTTCTGGCCCGAATGTTGTAAACCGATTCACAAAGCAGGACAGAAGCAACGAAGCAAATGCAGAAACATTCAAATTCATTGGGAGTGGACTTATTGGGTCATTTATTATCTTGGTAACACTATTTTACAGTGTCCTTGTTACATATGTTACCATAGTAAATTATGCATTCTTACATGCAACTAACCCTCAACCAAACCCTAATCCTACAGTAAGTACAGAATATTAGTACTAATATATAATTACACTGTAACAATGACACCTTAAAATAAAGCGTAACCCACTTTACAATAAGGTTAATTAGTTAACATTAGATTGTGTTAGCTAACATGAACTAACCATGAGCAATACATGTGATATAGGATTAGTTAATCTTTGGTAGTAAATCCAGCTAAGATTTTAATAATGTATTAGTAAATGTTGAAATTAACAAAGATTATTAAATGCTGTGGAAAGTCATTATTAGCTCATGTTAACTAATGTTATTAACTAATGAACCTTATTGTAAAGTGTTAGCATTATCTCATGATAGAAAAGGTTTTACATAGTTTTGGGTGCTGGAATCTTCTTATTAATATGAAATATGAAACAGCATTGTAACCTCCTCTTTAATGCATTACATGGAGTTTATTTCATTTGTGCCAGGAAACTCTGTCTTCATATCCTGCAGTGAATTATGCACATGGCATGGATCATTTTGATTATTAAAGTTGAATAAAATGACTTTAAACATAATGTCAATCCTAATTATTTGTTCAATTATATTTAAATCAAGTTTTCCATGTCTCAAGTGGTAATTTGGTTATTATTTGTTTGAATTGTTTCTTTATAAATATATGTACTTGTGAAATGCATATATTTTGTGGAGAACTTTTTTTGACCGGTTGTGGCCAGCAATAAAAACCCTTAAAGGGTGACTAAATCCCTGATCTGAGCTTGACTCCACCCACTGGAAATATTTGAAAAATGCTGAAAAAAGTGGGCGGACCCCAGCGGAGATAGAGGGGACGAATTAGATGCTAAAACACTCTATCCTGATCGTTTTCAATACTCACAATTCCAACTCTTGGCTCGCTATAGTGGTTTTGAAGAAACAAGTTGTTTTTTATACTGCCAAGGGCGTAGCCAGTGTTTCTTTGGTAATTATTGTCGAGGGATGATTAATGTTCCCCTTCTAACGTAGCCTAGAAATCTAGACGCACCCTAGCGGCAGCAAAAATTATTTTGCAGCAAAGTGTGGTCTAGCAACTCTCCATAGACATTTGAGCTGGAAAACCCCAACTCTGGTAGGGCCAATCACATCGTGTATAGAGTCGGCGGGCGGGCTTAACATAATGACGGTCAGAGCAAGCTCGGACATATTCGGTTTTAAGTCGTTCATCCTCGGATGCGGCCGGCGCCGCGCGCGTTGTTACAAAAAAAGCTGTGGCGAAATAATCAACTTGTCATATTTGCTGCGCTCGTGCTGTCACGTCGAGTATAAAGGCGTCAGCGCGCGCTCTGATCGGTAAGGTGCACGGACCTCTCCCGAATCATCTCCACCACCCTGAAGTACCACTACTCCGCCTCTGTTTCCCTCGTAAGCTGATATTAATATTTAAACATTCTCTATGATATTATTTTTTTAATGACACACTGTCTCTTCTCTCATACACAAACAAACACACACATACTGTCTCCTTCTCTCTCACACATATAGTTATAAACTCTTTAGACTTTTAATGATTAGTGTTTTATTTTTAAAGTTTGTGGGTCGTGTAAAAAAAAAAAATCCCTTATTTTGGGGATGGATTCCGGGAAATGTCCCTTATTTTCAATGTTCAATGTTGACAGCTGGACTGGATATGGTAAAAGTTATATCAACTTGCTCCGCTGAGTACGTCACCTTCTTCGTTGCTCTGATTGGCTTTAGTGCTATCCAATTGCGTGCAGAGAGAATTTGAAAGACAACCGTTTATCCCGCCCCTCGGATTGAGCCCTGTCAATGAAGATTTTTCAGACCTAACATCTTGATGTAGGTCTGGCATGCCAGGCTACTTCTAACGCCCTAGACGGCTAAAATCTAAGAAGGGTCGTAACAGATCTACTCCGATGCCAGGCCACCAGACTGACATTTTAGCTCATTCTCTACATTTGTTTAGCCCTTGGTGAGCCTCATTCAATCGGTCAAGGATATCTCATCATTGTGCAGTGGGAACTACGATTCTGTCACCATGTAAATATTATAGCAATAAGGTACAAGAGGCGGTGCTGTATCGTGAATGCTGAAGCCATTCTCGGCGCTGGTCACAGACCCGGCTGTCAGACTGGGGGGTACAAAGTGGCGAAGGGGAGGGATGGGGTGTGGGGTGGGTGATTGCATATCAGTTTGTGTATGTGTAGGCCTGGAGAGTCGCTATGCCTGCCATCATAATCTAGGTGCCTCAGTCCGCAGGATTGTCATAGCTATACACAGCAAGTTACCATGGAGAAAACCTTGATCATAATCACCAGGTGTCCTGGGGAGTCGGGGAAGGAACGCGAGAGCGGCTCACTGCAGTGCTCTTCCGGGGGAGTTGTTGTCCCAACAGCAGCCTTGGCCAAGGCCAGTGCTGGTTGAGGGCGGCCGAAAACAGATAAGACTGGGCTTGTTTGGTCTTGGGGCGAAAAGCCGCATTCAATTTACACGGCTATTTCTCATGGTCTCTGAAACGATCCAAATCCTTCTGCAAAGCTGTAAGCTTCTCCATGATGTTATCCATATTCTGGTTCATAGACACAGTCCCAGTGCTGACAGCTCTGCCCACCGCTTCAATCATGACGGGCAGCCTTGTGAGGCTTTGGAAAGCTGTCACCATCTTTTTAATTCCTCGATAAACCAGGGCAATGCCTAATCCAATCAGCAGAAGACCTGTTATCATGATTCCGAATAGGTAGATATCTTCAACATCCTCCACAGAAAGAGCCGCCAGACACACGACCCGCCACCTCTCCCACGCGTCCATCGCGTAGCCAGCTGCTAACGTTCCGGCAGGGCAGTCAGGTTCCCCTGAACCCAATCTTCTCGTCGAGAAGATGGTGTCAATTGCGTTGAAAGACCAGTTGATCAAATCCATAATTACTTAGTTTGGAGAGCAGTGCTGAGAGAGTCTCTCAAAGTACAAGACAGTAGACTAGACGTGACAAGAGAAGCAAAGCGGGAGAGGGAGAGAAAATGCAACCGCCTTCGTTGAGTGTGTAGCACAGGTGATTTAGCTACATAATAGTGACTAAAGGGATACAATAAATTACACACAATAGTACTCATTTATGTTGATTTTATTAAAATCCATAATTTATCTGATTTACAAAACAAGAAGAAATATTTTTGGAAAGAAAGAAAATAAATTTTGTATGTTTTAATTTATTGTTTTTGAGTTTTTCATCTGGTTACATCATGAAATGGAGTACTGCCCCTTTAAAGGGTTAGTTCACCCAAAAATGAAAATTAAGTCATTAATTACTCACCCCCATGCTGTACCAACCCCGTAAGACCTTCGTTCATCTTCGGAACACAAATAAAGATATTTTTGATTGAATCTGAGGGCTGGATGACTCTTCCATAGACAGCCTGAGGGACTGCCTCTTGACGGCCCAGAAAGTCATTAAAAGAAAAGGTTTAAATATTCCATGTGCCTACAGTGGCTCAACTATATTATCAAGCGACGAGACTACTTTTTGTGCGAAAAAAAAACGTAAATAACGACTTTATTCGACTTCCATTACTTCCTTAGTACGTCATCTTATACGGTAGGGGGCGGTAAAACTCCTAAGCGGTGAGCAGTCGTTAACAAAAAGTAGTCGAAGAAGAACGGTCTCGTCTCAGTTCTTGCGCATGCGCCCATAAGGAAGTAATGGAAAGTCGAATAAAGTCGTTATTTACGTTTTTTTTCGCACAAAAAGTAGTCTCGTCGCTTGATAAAGTTATAGTTGAGCCACTGTAGGCACATGGAATATTTAAACCTTTTCTTTTAATGACTTTCTGGGCCGTCAAGAGGCAGTCCCTCAGGCTGTCTATGGAAGAGTCATCCAGCCCTCAGATTCAATCAAAAATATCTTTATTTGTGTTCCGAAGATGAACGAAGGTCTTACGGGGTTGGTAAAGCATGGGGGTGAGTAATTAATGACTTAATTTTCATTTTTGGGTGAACTAACCCTTTAAGCCTGCTCTTTCTAGAATGTGCTCTCGGTCAGGGGGAGAATAGCTTGTTTTCACGTGACGTCACGCAACTGCGTTGCCATGGCGCGAAGCGCAAATGGAGGGCAGGTTCATATTCTAAGTGCAGCCGTCCTAACGTTCTTGATTCTAATTTGACGGCTGTAGGCTACTACAAGGTTCTTGCTGTTTTAAGGCAGGTTATCATCACCTTCTTGTAAGGTCTTTGCATACTTTTTGCGTTCAATAGCACCTTCAGGTAATTTCTTTTCTATATATTTGTTCTTTTATGGATTTTTTGTTTAAACGTCTTAACGTCTTGTCTTTAAATGTGAGAGGTATTCGGGACTTAACAAAGAGGAAAGCATTATTTTTATTTTGTAAAAGGTCTGAAGCTGACTTGATTTTATTACAGGAAACGCACTCTTGTGACTCTGATACAGGGTTCTGGAAAGCTCAATGGGGTAATGTCGCTCACTTTAGTCACGCGGTTCTAACCATTCTGCAGGTGTTTCAATCCTTGTGCACGGTTTCAAGGGGGATATTTTGGAAGTTGTGCCCTCTAGTGACGGAAGATGGATAATAATAATAGTCAAGCAGGACAATATAGTTTTCATAGTTTGCAATGTATATGGTTTTAATTCACACTGTGACAATAAAAACCTTTTTAACTCCATTACTGGCAAGCTAAGGGATTTAAAAGGAAAATACGCAAATGCCTTTTTAATCCTTTCGGGGGATTTCAATGAATGTCCAAACGAAATAGAGGATAGATACCCACGAGCGGCTCGATCCTCCCAGGGAACCGATTTAATCTCTTCTCTGTGCTCAGATCTATCCTTAACTGATGCTTGGCGTTTTTTTAACCCAGACATCCTAGATTTCACCTGGAGTAATAGATCTCTTACTTTGAAGTCGAGAATTGATTTATTTTTAGTTTCTTCTTCTGCTCTTCAATTTGTTAATGAGGTTAAGCATGTTTATGCACCCCTTTCGGACCATAAGTTAATTATTTTGAAACTAGGCTCCCTCGACCAGCAATCGGGCTTGAGAGGTTATTGGAAGTTTAACAATACTCTTTTGAGTGACGACTCTTTTAATAATTCTGTTAAGCTTCTAGCAAAAGAGATCTTCGAGTTTGACATTAATAATGAACATAAGAAAAAGTGGGAGTACTTCAAGTATAAAGTTAGACAATTGGCTATAAAAAGATCTAAGGAAATAAAGAAAGAAAAATATAATTCTGAACATGTCTTGATGAATAAATTAACTCATTTAATGTCAAAAGGAAATATTAACCCCGAAGAAGGAATTGAAATAAAAGCCATTCAAATTCAGATAGACTAAATATATACAGAAATGGCAAAGGGTGCATTTATTAGATCAAGGGCTAAGTGGCTGGAAGAGGGTGAAAAGAACACCAATTATTTTTTTTGCTTTAGAAAAAAGGAATGCTAAAAGAAATTCTGTAACTGAGCTCTACATTGATGGCACCCTCTCTAAGGATCTTACTCTCATTTCTAAATTTGTTAGCTCGTTTTATGGTAATTTATATCAATCT